ACCACCCCCTCATTATTCCACCATTATTCCCACACCACTCCCTCTATCACTCCCCTCCATCTGTTGCTCCCCCTCCCTCTGTTGCTACCCCTCCCTCTGTTGCTCTCCCTCCCATTTCTCCCCCCCTTCATCACTCCCCCTCCTATTACTCCCCTTCCATCCATTCCCACCCCTCCCTTCATCACTCCCTCTCCCCTCCATCACTCCCTACACCCTCCCCCCTCCATCACTTCCCCTGTCTTCCTCCTCCCTTAAATATTGAAAGTAGGAAAAATAAATTGTGTAGTCTATTCAATACATTTCAATTTTTCTTGCTCAGCTATGACCATGGAGTAAAGAAACCATGATTCCATAATGTGGACTTATGAATTATTCCATAAAGTCATTCCATGTGGATTCCATATGGAGTTCATATGGATTCCACCCTAAAAATGGTATAGGACATATGGAATAAAGTATGGAATCCATGTGGAAAACTCATGGAATCCATCCACCAAAAGTATGGAATCCATCCCCCCTTCCATGGAATCCATCTGGAATTTGTGCAGTCCACCCCCCCCCATTCCATCCATTCCATATGGAATAACCTGGGGAGGGTAAAGTACTGCTTATATAACGCAAAATAAATCCAAAAGGAGGAAACAACATCTGGAAACAGAACAATGTCTACATAGATCTATGTAGACGTATAGTGATCGGTAGGCCCGTTGATAGCCTCCTCATATGTAAAGCTCTGTAATTTCCCCTTTTTACCGTAGTTCAGAGTAATTCGGGTAGACAATTCCTAGCCAGTCTACCAGGCTCTATGCGGCCTACCGATCAACCAGATCTCAATAGTGATTGAGTGGATTACAGGCACATCTGATCTGTCACCTGCATGGTCTTTCCAGTCACGCCAAAAATGCCGAAAATATCAAAAAAGTATGCAAAAAAATCATATTGCAGCAGCTTGTACTTTACATGCCACCGTAAATTAACTACAAGTACATATATCAACATACACAGGATGTCGGCCACTGCACACTGGAAGGAGCAGGGGATGAACTCGATGTGCAGTCAAATCGATGCCCGGCTTCGCATGACCATCGTGGACATTCCCCGGCATCGCACAATCAGTTGTCATGGTGCACCCCCACTCAAACGTGAACCTAACCATGATAGCGATGGTATTGACTTTAAACAAGGCATTAGCGCACACTCAACAAACAGAACAGAATGGTGAAGCTCACTGTCATGATTTTCTTGGTCCATAGAAACTAAACATGCAGTGCTGACACACAGGGTCGGACTCGATGTGCTTTGAGTCAGAGTTATGCAACAAGGTGAACGTCAGCTCACCAGATGGAATGTGGGGTGAGCAATGACTGCTGTCCATAAGCAGTCCAGGTAAGCATTATACAGGAGGTGTTGTATGCATAATGGAGCTTACCGATGGTAATGGTGGGTGGTGATTGGGAGAACTTTTGAGTCTTTGTGAGGGTAGAGAGAAGAGGGTAAGGAGAACATTGAACGTTGAACGTTAACGTTCAAAAAGCGCGGTTGAATGGTTCATGCCATCAGTTCTCCCACGGCCTGTTTTTGGCACTGGATAACGCCACTCGCATCATTCCAGGTACAGACACTGCGCACCCCAGGACGGATTATAATTACTGGGTGCCTAACCCAGTAAACATGTCTAAACAAACCAGTTAGCAAGGAATAATCACCAGGCTACCAGGTGCATAACCTGTCTACCAGGTTCCCTAGACCGGGTTATCAATGGGTTATTATAATATGTTTTTTGTCCAAATCACCCATTACTGATAACTTGTTTGACAATTTTTTTTAAACTGTTAACATGTTATCATTCACCCAGTGAAGTAACTCAGTAAACAAATTGTTTTAACTATGTAGATTGTAAGGGCTTTGTTTAGCTCAAAAAGCTAATTCAAATGAACTATCAATTCATTTATTATTGACAATGCCTTCTCTTAGGTGCCTGTTTTCCCAGGCCATTTCCTGATGAAAGTTTTACATTGTAATTTTTTACCTTAGCAAGGTTTGAACTCCGGACTTAGCTGTTTTCTTTTTGCAGGGGGCCCTTCTTCTACACGTGAACACAACTTACCACTTCACCATCAGGGACAACAGGGTCAAGGAAATTTATGCATTTTATACAGCCATTTACAGGTGAACATATATCCTCACAAATCACTCACTACATTCAAAAAATGGGAAGTCCATTTAAATGGGAAAGGGAGGTAGAGTATGCTCACAGGGTCCGGTGTGGTTTCATGCTCAAAAGTATATAACCTATAAAGATCCCATGACTTAGTGGCTTTGTGTGCACTCAAGTGTTGCCTTTTTATCACCAAGCTGAGGGATCAATTCACTGCAATGTCAAAAATTTGATGTGTTGAAATTTGGACGGGTGAAAGATACTCGGTTACTGGTGACCAAAATAACCCAGTTGAACAACAACTTGTATACTGGGTTCTAAATAACTCATTGCTACCTAGTTAAAATGGGATTCCGTTTACTGTATGAATTATACTTGGTTACCCAGTAAATGAAATAAACCGGTGAAAACAGGGGAAAATAACTTGGAAGTAGTTAACTCGTTTGATACTCGGTGAACCAGTAAAAAATTAAAAATACTTGGCTAAAAAGTAAACTTAATCCGTTCTGGGGTGCACAGTGAGATCATCCCCCAAGCCTGATATTCTATGGCGAGTATGGATATACAGGTAGCTACAGGTCTACCAGAGACTACTGGACCTAGGTAGCTCTAGGTAAATCCAAACATTTATGTACAACTACATAATCACAACTAAATTACCCAGCCAAAACGCCGTTCCAGATGAAACCCTGATGATCTCACAAATCTAAGCGAGTATCCAGTATCCCGCTTTACGCCGCTTTCCTACAGCTCGCAAACACCTACAGGACACATTGCTGCAGCTCAGTGAAGTGTTCCTCAGGTTTCTTGCTTGAGTTGTTGCACACCGTATTGATATTGTGAGGTTGGGATCCTCCCTTCCTCCTCTTCCCTTTTTCTTTTTTCTTTTTCTTTTTCTTTTATTTTTTAGCCCACAAACACCGGTATCCGGCCCCATTTTGGCGACTTTTTGTGGACAAGAAATGGCATGAGCTTCCCGGGGCCTGTTATACCTCAACCTTGTCTCAAGATGTCCACATCTGAGGCTATACCTCAATGTTCAAACTTGGGTGCCTAGCACTTACAGCTGACTGAGCACTGCTGCACGACCTTCCAACAATCTTCCATTGGAAAAAAAAACTATGACACCTTTGAAATCTAGGCCTACCGTACTACGCATACGCGGACGTTCGGCTCTAAATGCAGTCTTGCAGGCCTAACTTGACTTCTAGAAATTCCCATCTACAACGAATGGGTGCCGGTATGGCGTCTCCGGTCAGTCCGACATGTTTGAAAGAAGAGCAAGGCAAGAACCTCGCTCTTCATCACCTCCAGATCCATTTCTCTGAACGCGTCTCACAATGGTTCTTAAACTCTATGGATTTCTCCACTTGCACTCAAACCGTTGCAACAGTGTTGTACAAGACAAACGTTTCGTTCGAGTTCATCCCAGTCGACATTAGCAAGGGCGAGCAGAAGGCCCCGGAATACCTCGTGATTCAACCATTCGGACAGGTTCCCTACATCATGAGCTTCAATCTCTCTCCTTATCACGCAACTGCTTCATAGGGTGTCCGACTTCAGGACGATGATGGATACATCGTGTACGAAAGTAGGGCCATTGCTCGCTATATCACGGCCAAGTACGGCGATCAAGGAACACCCCTCCTCCCAAAGGATCCAAAGGCATACGGTCTCTCCGAGCAAGCCGCATCGATTGAAGCCTTCAACTTCCATCCACACGTGTCCAAAGCCGTTGCCGAAAACATGTTCAAAAAGTGAGCCGATTTTTTGGTCTTGCAACATTGTATCGTGTTCTGACACACTTTTCCCCCCAAGATAGAGTGGATTGACCCCAGACCATGCGGTTTATGAGGCAGCAATCTCCGCCCTGGACAAGCATCTGGATGTGTATGACACGATCCTCGCAAAGCAGAAGTACCTAGCTGGAGATGTCAGTCTCACATCGTGTGTATCATCTGATGACGCGATACTTACCGATGTGATTGCAGGAAATCACTCTTGCTGATATCTTTCACGTTGCATACGGCTCATACCTCCCTGCGGCGGGGAGTAACGTCATAGACACAAGGGGCAAATGGCTTTCGTCGCCAGGTAAAGAGGTGATAAATAGTAAATAACTATGTCAAATTTTTTATTCCACATTTGTTGAAAAAATAATCAGTTAAATAAAATTCAAATTTTCTTGCTCATTATCTTTGCAGGAATGGTTGATAAAAATAAAATGTTGTTGCCAGAGTAGGAAGATAAAGATCAACCCTGTTTTGCCACAGCAACAAAGATGAGGTGACAAGTTAATGTCATTGAAAGCCTGTTCCTGACATGAGGAATTGGAACAAAGAATTTAACTAATTGCCAGGGAATTTTGAGGGAATTAGACATTCCTATGCAGGCCAGATCACCTCGTTGCTTGGCAAATATGTAAATTCTTTGTTCCTGTTCCCGCATGTCAGAATGAGCTTTCAATGACATTAAATTGTTGCCTCGTCATTTTTGCTGTGGCTAACCTCATCTTCCTACTCCAGCAACAACATTTTACTTTTATCACTCATTTCTGAAGCAAGAAAATTTTAATTTTATCTAACTGCTCATTTTTTCTGCAAGTGTGGAATAAATGATTTAACATAGTTATCTACTGTTTACCACCTCTTTACCTGGCGACGAAAGCTGTTTGCCCCTTGTGAGAATTAAAGCCCAACGTCGATCGGTACGTGTCCATGGATCTGAGTGTCGTCGGCATGGTTAATGTGGCTTGTTATTCAGGTGGTTCAAGGAGGTGTCCGGAAGGGCTTCCTGGCAGGCGGTCAAGGATGGTGTCAAAAGTACCACCTAAGAATAATAGACATCATGTATTAGTTGCAAGACTGTCAACATGGGCATGCCGAATGACTTCACACCTACCATATGATAGTCCGAATACGGCCAAGAAGTCTTCAAAACTATTGTTTTCCGGATCCTGTCGCCAATTTGCCATCACTCATTCAGCGCCTTGACAGAACTACTGGGGGTGAATTCTTCATCAGCATTCCACTACATGCTAAAAGGTTTCAACCGTCCAGATTCTGCACCACTGCCTTCTCCTTGTTTTTGTTCAGTCCATCACCTGGTTGCAGCGCTTCAAAGAGAAAGCTGTATGGTCCAACCTCCGCTGGAACGCAAGCAATTCGTCGATCGAGAGAGCCCTCGGCAAGCTAACCGTTGATATTCAATGATGGATTGGCGACGGAATTGCCTAAGCGCGGCAAACCCAGCTTAACTGTCTCGGATGCAGTGAAGATTGGGGAGAGAACGATGACCTTCACGCGATGTCCTCGGCTACGCTCTTGCCCCACCTCTTTGTATACACCAGGTGTACGCGTCTTGAGATTATCAGTCATATGTGATCCCTGTTCCAAAAAGTCCCAAGCGATGGTCGAATTTCTCACTGAAGCTTTCCGCGAGCAATCAAAGAGTCCATAAGGATGACCATAAGATTTAGAAGAAGCTACTCCGAGGCCTCCTCTCCTCCATAGTATACTGTAAAAAAGACCAAGATGATAACCAAATCAATGCTACAAAACAACACAAGAGAAAAGCCCTCTCACAAGAACAACTAACTCGAAACATGTTCAAGCCACCCTCAGGCCTCATGGAGTCTCTTCCTCGCCCTCCACCCCTCCCCACCTTACCACTTTTCCGCCCTCTGCCCCTTCATCACCCTCTCCCTCATCCAACACCCTTCCCCGGCTGCACCGTCACCCAATGACCCCAAGAGGCTCCACCCAACAATTATCTCTTCTAAGGGGCGCTCTGGTCCCCCGCCTCAAGGGCTTGTAGGATAGTTGACCAAGCGTGGCTTGTGACGCGTTGATCGGATAATTGGGATAGCGAGTTGGTGTGTATGGGGCTGCTGCTGCTGCTGTGGTGGTGGTGGTGGTAGTAGAAGACGTAGAAGTATTGGACGTAGGAGCAGGAGTGACCCAGTCAACGAAGAAACATCCAAAAGTGCATCAACAACCCCCTGCAACCTCGCACCACCCATAAATAGCCAACGTGTTGTCCGGCATCTGTACCTCCCTCTCCCAACCACGCTCTCGGCTACACCGCGGCGCGTGAGCGGGATACAAATGAACGTTGGCCCGGCCAAGGTTGAGGAAGGGCTCCAATCCTCATGCACGAAGAAAAAAAGTACCTCTTCAGGGGAGTACTCGTATATAGAGAAATCACCATGTTTCACCTTCACAGTGCGAGTGAGTTCGTGACAGGACAAACACTCAGAGAGAGAGAACATACGCGAACGACGCACAACCCCCTTCCAAACGTCTTCCACAGCGAGATGCGTCATCTCTTCCTGGCTTGTATCTGCATTCCCGGGGAACTTCTTCGCGGTGATGAGTTCTGTCTTGTTGAGTATGAGAGCTAGCACACCCTGCAGCACGAGTTTGTCCACCAACACGAGGTCCGCGTGGATAGTGAGTATGTGGTGCGTGAGCAGGGTGAGCAGGGTGCCAGAACCCAAGGATGATTCATTTGCGTTTGGGAGTGCCCGAGAAGGCCTGAATGGTTGGTGGGTTCAGAGGTTTGTCCGCCGTCGGCTCGAGCACCTCTTCGTCCGAGAGGGTAGTTTGGAGGGGCCAGTATTGCTCACTTGAGCGACCCATTTTAAGCGGGGTTGAGCTGAATCTTCAACGGGGCGGTTGGGAGTGAGAACTGTACGCTGTCCTCTGTCGATACTTCGTCCGCATCGGTGTCGTCCATCGCGTTGGATATAGCTAACCTTTTCACCCGCCCAACGCTCTGCAAGCACACCCCACGCCCTTGAGCAACCTCACGACCACCTCCCTCGTAATCCTCAATGCTAATCAACACCCCTCCCCATTAGTGGCCACGCCCTCTTCCAAGGGCGCAGGGTTGTGGTGGAGTTTACCGAGTAACGATGTCGTTCATGGAAAGCGGAGAGCATCTTATTGGGTGCGGTAGTTGTTTAGAGGTGGTTTGGGCTGGGTACGAGCTTCAGGACGACGAAGGATGAGGGCGACGAGCTCTTCTGCAGATGCCCTAGGCCTGAAGGGAGAGCCTAAGAGGGTGTCCGCGATAGATATCGATAGATGCCAATGCGATATCTGTACGTCCCGTAAGCCAAGGATGCAGATCAACGAGCTGATCCCAGTCTATAGGCTGATACGCATTGAATTTCCTTGCATGCTGAACGCAGGCCGCCTTTTGCGAGAATGTCTGCGTGTGAAGCATCAGCTTCGAGAGCCTGAATTCCCGCAATGCAGGTTATGGTCCCGATCCTATGATAACGATTCTCCTCGTTGCAAAACAGAATGAATGAATGAGGGAGACGCCCGAACGTGCCAGGTTGGAGAAGTGACTATATGCGCACAATATCAATACTCCGAGCATTAAGAAAAAGAGGCAGGCGGCGTGGGGAACATTGTAGGTGGATATATGCGAGAATAGTGAAATTTGTCGACTCGTCTTGGTGGTGGAACTTGAGCAACCCGAATTTGATCGACGTCAACATCGTCCTCGACCTACCTACCTATCATTCGCGCGCCTCGGATTTACATCCTCAGGGAAAGTGGAGACTCAAGCTGTCCAGTTCTCCTGCTCGACATTCGCTGGGTCAGTATTTAATCTTTCATTTGCTTATTGAGGGTAAAGCTAACTCAGGGAATTGAAACATTGAAAGTTAACGCATGGCGCACAAGCTTAGGCTACTGCATGCAACTACTTTTTCGCTCATAACCCTCGTATCTCTCCGTCAGTGAGGCCATGTCGGTTTCCTCGCTTTCCACGAACGTCTCCGTAGTCCTGGTCCGCGGACGATTTGGAAACCCGCATCAACCATCCCTTGAGTAAAATGAAAGATCAACAAACCGAGAGGCGATCGTCTTGTCACTGAAGTTTATGGTACGTGCTGCTTTACATCTCACGACGGAAGAGGTGTGAATTGAGCTCCCGCCGTCCGTTACCGTGAACAATACCTCAAACTTGGCGGGCTCAAGACAGCAATTGCGATTGGGATGCAGCATTGCGATATGAAGGCCCTCCGATTCAGGTGAAATATCGATCGGTAGGAAAAGCCGGGACAGAATGACGGAAAGACGGGGAGAGGATATCCTGCGAAAGATAAGATGGATGGCGATAAGTGGTAGAAGGAACAAGCCACGAGTAGAAGGCCAAGAGGATGGAGGAGGAAGTGGTGAGATATAGCTGGGAGACAAGGAGGAAAGGTGAGGAGAGGATATCCTGATGGTCAAGCTTCACGATGGGTTACGTTAGCCAGTCGAAGGATGGATTCGCAAGGAGACGAAGACGATGAAGGAGTGGTTTGAGGTTTTGTCCTTTACGGTGAACAAAACGTCGAAGTTAAGAGCTGCTCTAGTAGCACGTTGCACATGGGCAATTAGAACACTGCACTCTGGAGGTGAAGGCCTTCGGATTGGTAGACCCCGACTAATAGCGCAGGGGTAAAGATTCGGGTTCTAGACGTTGCTGGGTAGATGTATGTAGTGGAAGAACGTAGGATTTGTCTGTCCAACACGCGCCAATCAAGGCACAGTTCTTGGATCCGTGATCTCTGGACGACCACTCCTAGATTCAAGGAGCACGTCAGCACGAGCAAGTAGCTGTCTCCTCAGAAAGGGAGAGTCGTTTTGGGAGCTAACTGCAATACGACTGGTGGGTTGCAAGTTGAGGTGTATGGGGCTGCTGCCGTTGTCGTTTTTGTGGTGGTGATGAAAGATGCAGGTGTCTTGGACGTAGAAGCAGGAGTACGAAGAAACGCCCAACAAACGCATCAACAACCCCTTGCAGCCCCTCCTCATTTCAGGCGTCTCAGCCGGGACAACGTTCAGTTGTATCCCGCTCACGCACCGCGGTGTAGCTGGGAGCGTGGTTGCGTGGGGTGGGAGCAGGGTACGGATGCTGGAGTATACGTTGGTTATTTTGATGTTTATTGCGAGCTTGAGCCCATGCGCACGGAAGAAAAGTACCTCTTCAGAGGCGTGGTCGTATATAGAGGGATCGCCTTGTTTTAACTTCATAATGGGAGTAAGTTCGTGACAAGACAATTGCTTAGAGAGAAAGAACATACGCGAACGACGCACAACCCCCTTCGGCGCGCCTTCCTCAGTGAGATGCATCATTTCTTCCTGGCTTTTATCTGCATTCCCGGGGGACTTTTTCGCGATGGTGAGTTCTGCCTTGTTGGATATGAGGTTTAGCACGCCCTGCGGGACGAGTTTGTCCGCCAAAATGAGGTTCAGGTGGATAGTGAGTATTTGGTGCGTGAGGAGGGTGAGCAGGGTGGCAGAACCCGGCAGGATGATTGGCCCGTTAGATAGTGGGGCGAGAAGGCGTGAATGGGTGGTGGGTTCAGAGGTTTGTCCGCCGTCAGCTCGAGCATCTCTTCGTCCAAGAGGGTAGCTAGTTTGGAGAGGCACTTGTGCGACCATTTCAAGCGGTGTCGGGTGACTCTTCAACGGGGCGGTTGGGAGTGACTACACCACTGTCCTCTGTGGACACTTTGTCTGCATCGGTGTCGCCTTGGATTCAGTGAACCGCCACCTCCGCCCTACGTTCTGCACCCCACACCCCACGTCCTTGGGCAACCTCGCCACCACCTCCCTTGAAATCCTCAACGCTAATCGACTCCCCTTCTATTAGTCGCCACGCCCACTTGCAAGGCGTAGATTCTTTCGTCGTCGGGTGCAAAAACCGATGAGAGGAAGTCTTTGAAAAGTTGCAGAGATCGGTGTGTCGAGTTCTTCTGCAGATGCCCTGGCCTGAGGGGAGAGCCTAAGAGAGTGTCCGTGATAGATGCTAATGCGATGGCTGTACGCCCCGTAAGCCATGCAGTCAAATCAACGAGAGGTAAAGGTTTTCGGAAGGCTACTGCAGATATGGGAACAGTGGGCAACACCAGTACGTATCTACTCTGATTCATTCAACTACTTTTTCGCTCATAACCCTCTTCCCTCTCCGTCAGTGAGGCCATGTCGGTGTCCTCGTCTCCCCCGAATGTTTCATCACCGTAATCCTGGTGCTCGGGTGATTTAGAAACCTGCAGATGAACGAACCAGTTTGGTTGTGGCAATTATGCAATTGTCTTGACGTTGAAGTTTATCTGCGTGCCGTTGACACACGACAAAGTACGTTTGCTCTTCCTTATTTCACTCATCATCAGCTAACTGGCATCGTGGGTTGAACTCAATAGACGCAAGACACATCCACAGCCCGTCTCCACCCTCGATCACGACATACACAACAAGTCATTCACGAACCCATCCCAATACGCGTCTATGAAGGCCTTTACTTGCCAGGAATCACTACAATGGTTGTTGGTGCATATTTGCTACATCCGCCTGTGCTCTCAGGCTCGGAAACATTTCTTCTTCTTTCTTGATCCATCCCCACCAACTCATTATCATTGACATGGCTGGCAGAGTAAGTCCCCGCTCTACCTCTAGCCGTGTTCGTCGCGCTCATGTCGGTAGGCACAGGCACGGTTTCTGAGGGAGTACAGGCTAGTTGGGGGAAGAGTTTAGTTCACATTCAGGCGGAAAACTTTGCGAAACACTCACAACTCTGTGCTAGGTGTCGGGAAGTCAGGTTTGACTTTGCAGTTTATTCAATTCTGCTTTACATATGGGTACGGCTCCACGGTTGAGGGTGAGACCATTGCGAGATTTATCCTTCAGACACTTACCCCATTGCATAGACACGTACCGAAAACAATGCGTTATTGACGGTGAAGTTGCCCTGGTTAACGTTCTGGAGACCCCTGGTCAGGAAGAATATGGGCACGTGTCGGTCTTTTTCTGTAAATTCTATCACGTGTTTCGCAATGTTATTGCCTTTTTATTATTCGATAATTCTCGGGACACGTCACTCACCAGCTCAATTGTCCCACAGCGCCATCCTCGATCGAAGCCTTCAACTTCCATCCACACGCGTCCAAAGCCGTTGCCGAAAACTTGTTCAAAAAGTAAGCCGATTTGGTCTTGCCACATTGTATCGTGTTCTGACACTCTTTTGAACCCAAGGTACCGTGGATTAACCCCAGTCCCTGCGGTTTATGAGGCAGCAATCTCCGCCTTGGACAAGAATCTGGATGTGTATGACACGATCCTCGGAAAGCAGAAGTATCTTGCTGGAGATGTCAGTCTCATATCGTGTGTACCATCTGATGACAATACTCACCAATGTGCTTGCAGGAAATCACTCTCGCTGATATCTTTCACGTTGCATACGGCTCATACCTCCCTGCGGCGGGGAGTAACGTCATAGAATAAAAGCCCAACGTTGATCGGTACGTGTCCATGGATCTGACTGTCGTCGTCATGGTTAATGTGGTTTGTTATTTAGCTGGTTCAAGGAGGTGTCCGGGAGGGCTTCCTGGCAGGCGGTCAAGGATGACGTCAAGAGCACCGCTCAAGAATAATAGACATCATGTAATAATTGCAAGACTGAACGTGGGCATTCCAAATGACTTCACACACCACTACCAAGAAGCAACTTAAACATGCCGTTGCACAACATCACTGATTCTGCTGCATTCGCACATCAGAGTCATGAGTCGTGAGACTCTCCCGCATTCAAGTCCCCCATGAGCCATGTCCTGTATCTAAACCTGGTCAGAATCAATTAACAAACCAATTATTTCATGGAACGAAAGAGTAAGGGTCCAGTGCACTGAGGACACGAGTAAGGATCACGATATGACAACGAGAGTACAGGCTAATATACAAGTTCGAAGTAAGTAGATGGTGCAACATGTGAGTCAAAGGGAGAGTCACAGTCGAAGATCAACTGCAGCTTCACAGTAGGCACAACATGTGGACGTAAGAACTCAAAAATCTCCAAGAAAAGAAATCTGACTGGGAGTACAGCCTGCGCTGTAACTAGGAAGGCGTAAGAGTTCAAAGGTACAAGTCAAGGCCATATTGTACAGAGGGGAACTTGGAAATGTGCAAAAAAAAGAAATATGACTGGGATTACAGCCTGCGCTCAGGCTGCGACTAGGAAGGCGTTGAAGTGAAGAAGGGACAGCCAGTCACATGCCAAGCAGAAAAGGAGTTCAGGCATTTGGGATCGACTGTCGAACAAAAGATAAGATTTACTCGTCAGACGATCTAGCATACACTTACCTCAGTCGACCGTTCATTCTTTAAGAATTTCTTGGTGCGATACATTTCTAAAAACTGCCAGTAAAATGAGAATTGAACATCCAATTAACAGGTAGCTGATCGAGATGAGACAGGGAAACGAACCTCATTGAAAACCCTCTCCATATAAGGCATCACGAGAACAAGGCTTAGGATCTGCACAAAGTCAGCATTTAACGGAGGAGAGAGAGCACGAATTGACCTGTCCAAAGTCGAATTCGAACTCATTTCTACTATTCAACTGATTGATCATTATGGATGCCTCAATACCGTAGACCTCTTTTACCCAAAGTAATAAGTAGGCGGCAAGGAGGGCATAAGTGCAGAGCGAGGAGAAAAAGTGCTTGAAACACGGTGCCATGCGCAGCACAAGTGGGACGAGGATGAAGGCCACCATAGGGACATAAAGCCACAGGAGAACCCAGAGGCTACCCTTGCCGGTACCGTTGATGGTGACTGGCGGGCTCCATGGCCAGGGCTTCCAACGAAGGGGGCGATTGTCGGACTTGCAGCTTGAATCTTTGAAAAAAATGACCCAGGCCAAAACCATGTAGATGAGGCATCCCAAAAGAATGAAACTTGGCGTTAGGGTCGGAAGGGTGACTTCTATTTTTCTCCTTTTACGACCAGTCCCCGGGATGTTGACTGGGATATTGTGTTTTAGTGTCAAAGGGGATTCGCCCTTTTGAATCATCATCCCAACCACTGCACTCCAGAGGAGCAGAGCTCCGGTGTGGTAGGCGGCGATTTCATAGAACATGCTAAGTTTGCCTTTGCTTCGTTGGAAAATGCAGGCTATGGCGAGCGCACCAAAGGTGTAGAGTTGGAGGCGCCAGAGGTAGGTCGCAGTAGTATGCGGTTTGCCGCGTTTACGCACGATAAAGGAGATGAAGACTACGACAGCCAAGATTAGCTCACATATATCAGTAGGAAAGGCGGTTCTTACCGATCAGAAGGGATTGTGCATAGAGGTGTGTACGGCTTCCAATCCCAAGAGCTTCAATGCCGTCTGTCGTGAAGCAAGACTGGGCCATCGTAAGAGGATTGAATTCTACTGGACATCATGCTCGGCCTCTCGTTCTTAAGCAAGGCGGAGACACCGCAAGTATAATCTAGTTTGGAAGAACCCTGGCTCATGTTGTTGGTCATGCGCTCAACTTCACTAGTTTTCGTCTGGATAGCAGAAAGGCTATGGTGCATCCCCCTGTTTCATCCACGTTTCGCATCTGCCCCGCTGGGCCATACAAACTTGAAAAACTGCGGAATGACAGAAGCCTAACTTCACAAATTCGACGAAGCCAGCACCACTTCGAGGAACTGGGGAGGTCATTTTTAGAATAGATGCGGGTACATGCAGTGTCGAGCGTTTGAAAAAGATGTGTATCTGTGTGAAAACTGAAGACAAGACATGGGAGTTCGGATGCAAGATTGTTAATGTCCGACTCGACTATTGTGATACAGGCGCTTAACTTCACTGGTGCCGTGTTGGCAGAACGACTGTTATTCATCATCCCCGTTTCCTTTAAATTTCGCTGCTGGGCCACATGCAAAGCTGAGAGATCGGATGCGGGAATGCGCAAGGTCAACTCCGCGGAGGGCTCTTGATCGACGGATCGTCGAACTCTTTCAATTTGCTGGATAGATGCCGGTATATGCAGTGTCGAGCGTTTGAATGTGGTGTGTGTGAAAGTTAATGTGAGGTGGGCAGCCAGATGCAGGGCATGTCGATGTCACGGATTCATCGTACCCACCCGAAATGCCCTCATTACCACCGAACGAACCAAATGCTTGCGTTTCAGCGGAGGTTGGACCATACAGCGTACTCTTTGATGCGCTGCAACCGGATGATGGACTGAACGACAACTAGGAGGAGAAGGCAGTGGTGCAGAATCTGGACGGTTGAAACTCTTTGAGGATGTAGTGGAATTCTGATGTTCACATCAGAATTCACCCCCCAGAGAAGTAAAAGTAAACCCAGATCAGTAGCTCCGTCAAGGCGATGAATGAGTGATGACAGATTGGCGACAGGATCGGCGAGTGTTGGTCATAAGGCAAACGGAAAACAATAGAACTGGTGAATGTGATAATAGATTGGCGACGAGATCGACCCAGTAAGGCAAACGCGGTGTCCTCAGCTACGCTCTTGCCCTCCTCTTTGTAAACACCAGGTAAACGCGTCTTAACAGTATTAGCCGTATGTGATTCCTTCTTGGGTTTCTAGCTGTGCTAAACTATTAATTTGAACACGTCTCAGGAAAAGGGAGTACACACCTAAGAAAACGAGACAGCCGTGGATCCAGAGTGAGCTTGTTCCCCCGCGGCCGCAGTAGACCTCTTCAGTCAGTCAAGCTGGTCTTGTGTGAACTTAGAGGAGTTCTTAAAACCACTGGCGGGAACGTGCATAGCGCGTCAAAGTGGGCGCCATATGCAGAACATGGACAGGGTTTAACAATAGGAATCGGAAGTACGAAGGGCAGAGGGGAAACGGGCGTGTCTAAGAATCCGACTGATTATGCCATTGAAGTCTCGCAAACTTCTTAACATAGACCCTGCTTACAGCTTGGGTTGAGAGTTGGTGGGTTTTCATCATGGGGAAGAATTGGGAAAGAAGCTTACACACCAGGCAGCTGAGGCGAAGCTGATTCTCTACTTGAGGATAAGTAGAACTTGTCGACCTGCATGGCCAACGTGGACGATGAGGCTTTCGCTACGCTTGAAGAAACGAATTGTTTCTTGGAGTCATGACTCGAAACTTGCTCGAAAGACAAGTTGTGCATATTGCGGTGCTGCTGAGAACTTTAGCAGTCATCCTGGGTCACCGCTTTTCTAGACAAAAATCGTGGAGATTCATCAGCAAAAACCCTGGGAACTGGTAGACATTGTAAGTCGGTGAAATCCGAGGGAGACGTTACAATATGTAACATGCGTTACAACGCGTCTACAATCTGTTCACCATAGCCGAAATGGCTTGTGGATGTTGCAACTATGTCACCCGCTCCTTACCATTCCTTGCTACTTTACGGGACTTAAACGTTTTTTCAACATGTCAGAGTCACGGGAAGGATCGGATCCAACCAACACGGTGGCGCCGCCTTTTCCCATTCCACCTCGCTCAACTTGAACCCTCTTGAACCCTCAACCACCCAGCCTCGCAACGTTTCACTGTACGACGGCGCTCAACGGAGCTACTGTCTCTCTAGGCTCAGCTTCCTCTCAGGATTGCGCCGCCTCCTCGCCATCTCGTCAGCCCTCCGCCTTTTCCATCGATGTTGAACGTCCGAATTCGGAAATTTTTGGACCTGTGAACTTTTCCCTCAACGTCAAACTTCACGCTCTCCCCTCCTTCCCCCCCGCGCAATGTCTTCATGATTGGGTATGTGCTTGGCCAGCACAAACTCACTCATGATGACATTGACATTGACACATTGCATTTATGGCAGAATCTTTACATCAAAACCCCAACAAATCTGTCAACCCCTCTGTGGCACAATGCAGCCAGAAGACCCTGGCCGCCCGACGACGCATGCAAAGTATACGGTGGGCGGTAAGTATTGGAGAGTGCGACGTGACCTTTGGATGACGACGAAGGAAGGTGACGTCGGGGTGGGCGTGGGGGTATTTGGAGGTGGTGACGTGGGGCCTCCATTTCGATGTGAAGGAAGTTGTCCATGGGGGTAACGCCATTTCGAGGTACGTGGACTCACACCATTTCCGTAGCTTTCACTGATAACACAAGTTTAGACCATCAACTGGTACTCGCAAGATACTGGTATTCAGCGCGATTGCTCTGAACATCACGAGGTGACCCTCCCGCTTCGCTTCTTTATGAACGTGTTCTCAAGTTCCTTCACTCCAGTGATTGCATACGTCGCTTCTAATGTGTGTTGTTCATTCACTCTGACACAATTGTTACTTAACTATCTTATCCAAGGAACATTTTGATTCTACAGGAGTGATGAGGGAGATGACGATATGGTTACCGTCTTTGGCGGCACAAATGTGGGCGCAAGCGGCTGAAGATTACGAGAAGCGTAGGCTATTTAGTACCGTGCAGGCTGCAACCATATTTAAATGAATCTTCCTGTACATATGCATATCCCAATTGAGATTGTGGCGACATTCTATCTTCATACAAATCCACTTGTAATTGGCTTGCAAGTTGCAACCTGATAAAATAGTGCAATTATTGTGTGACATTACAATGCCGCTACTGTACTATGACAATGTATCTTGTAAAATATCCCTCAGCGATGTAAGCGGTGATAACTGATTGCACTCATTGTAAGGTCGTTGCGAGCCCTTTTGATCCTTGTCGTCTGGTAGCAACTGAATCCAAGGTGATCAAAATAGTCACGGGTTTTTGCTGATGTTTGGATAGCCCAAGGATTTAAATATTTAAGGGCGGAAGGGTCAAAAGCGGAAGCAGAGAGGAAATCAAGCCGCGATTGATAAGTCGGACTTCGAAACATCCTTGCCTCATCATCCTAGGTCACCACTTCTTCTTGTATAACTCTGTGCGTATCCCTAATGCTACTGCGAATTTTGCTGATATCTTCTTAGAATCTCTTGAATTTCTCGCCGTAACAATGAAACTTACCGCCCTCGTCACCGTCATCGCGGGCAGTATGTACTGGTCTTCGTACGTTCCAACTCCTTCGATGCTCTGATTGCCTACTGACATGCACAATTCCTTTGAAAATAGTCCAAGCAGGCGCAGTTCCTAATACCGAGCTCCTAATAACGAGCAGCCTCTCCACCCAACGTCAACAACCCAGCTTACAAACACCTAGGCTTTGGACTCCTCGTCCCCAACCAGGCGGACTCCACAGCATGGCTTCCTGTTCCCCACGCTGCTGGCTCAGCAGGGGAAAACGGACCTGCTCAGCACCACCCGTGCGGAGGACGTGACCGATTCAGGAACCGCATCCAGGTAAAGACCTTAGAAATTTCCGTGGTGCGTTTGGATGGCCGTTGAAGGAGCCTTTTTCCACCACCCTCACCACCCGCACCCTCACCCGCCCCATGAAGAACACCCCAGAAAGCACCACCACGAGCACCACCACAAAGGTCCCGAGGGTGAGCACGGCGGCGAGGATCGCTTCCCCACACTTCTCCCCATCGTCGCCAGTGACCACCGCTCCCATAAATCCCTACTCACACGGCTACCAGTTCCACCTCTTTGAGAACAACAACAACTTCGGAGTCAGCGCGCACTCAACGACATTGTCACTTGTCGCGTTGGGCGCTCTCAATGTGTTGAGAAGTGCAAACGTTTCTGCGCAAGATTACTCTTGAAAGACAACCTGCGACATCAAGTCGTATTGTTACCACAGACGCCTGTTTTCTGCGTTGTGGGTGTGGAGTTCCCTCCATCATCCTTGCCCGGTCGAGGCAAAGTCCACGATCACAACAGGGGCGTTCTTTGCCGGCACGGGCCATCCGACGACAGAAAATCAAAACTTTACCGCCCATTCGAGGTAAGTACTTGTCCACACTTTGATAACTTGTACCCATTTTGCTAACTTCTCACCTCGTAGAGATTTCGAGTCATTGGCACTTATCTTTCTCCTTTGAAAGTGTGATCCCTTCTGACAACACTTAGGTGTGCTATTCATCCTTCGGAAAGCGGAGTGGAATATCGACCACGGCAAACTATTGATAGTTTTAGTTGGCGCCACCACTGGCCAGTACCACCTCCTTTTCGGTCTTCCCTACCTGAAATTAGGTGGTCGTCTTGCATCACCCAATCTCACTGTGTATGCTCCCATCGTCTCCCTCGCACAATCTCAACCTGCTAATAACTCTTCAGAACAGGCAATGAAATCCTCCGTCCCCACCCTTGATTTCGAACAACGTACTAATCTGCACGTCGGCTCTCTAACCGTTTCCTCCCACAATAACTGACTTGGTCAACGAAGCCCTCCGTGTCACCATGTCTGACCAGCTCAGATCATGAACCAACAAGCTGAGCTTCAAGTTGAGAGCTTGAAGAACGAGACTGAATCGTTCAACGTTGGAGAGGTGCCGAGTGATGAATGGGAAAGGCTCATCACGCAGAAACATGGTGAAGTGCGGATGGAACGCCTGTCTACTGTGTATCTACTGCGAGGCTCTTGCCAAACACAACCAAACATACATCCTCAGTGTTTGGAGTGTCGAGGCCCGACACTCCAACGTGGAGTGCAGGAACAAGGTTGAGGACAAGAGGAGGGAGAAGACAGAAGAAGTTGAGGGGTCAAATTGGTACAGCAGATCGGTGAGCCTGAACCTGACCAGTAAGAAATTGGGGCTAACTCGTCCTTTGTACAGCAGGCACGATTGCAGCACAGCAACAGGTATCAGGACCATTTCAGTCTCGCTTAACGCCTGCGGTTCTTTGTCTTCGTTGAATTTCAACACGATCGGTGGACAAGGCGAGAAACATCAGGGACGAAGGATCAACACAGCGGTGGGGACTCGCACCATAAGTGTGGCGGGGACTCACACAACGGGCGTGGTGGAAACTGACACCACCACTGACCAGCAAGACTGCTGGAACTTGCACCATAACAAACTGGACAGTGCACCCTCACATCGACGGCGGCACAATCGTCAAGCTCACGTCGAACTCTCCCATTGGCTGGGTCGGTCTGACCCGATCGTCAATGTATCATGGATGGTTACAAACAAGTTTTGAAGACTTGGGATGAGTTCTTTTAAGTTTTTCCTCTATTGGCGATTTGGGGAATTGTGTTGCTTCCACAACGCGATTGGAGTGAAGTGATGTCTCTCAATCCCCCTCAACCCTCCTGTCTCCGAAGCACTCTTCTTTCTCTCCTCTCTTCCTTCCTCCGGTCTACCTTCCACCCGCTTTTTCTGACTTTTCACGATGCCGACCCTCTTCCCCCAGGATATGCACATATACATCCTCCAAGGTCACCTGTACACCATCCGCTGCACCCGTGTCCCACACAATCGCCCTATCCGGTACCAGGATGCCACTCTGGGGTGAAAGAGGGAATGTTGACAGAGTCCTCGATTCCAGTGCAGCTGCCAGCCATTGCTGTCTTCGACCCCACCCCTTCAAGAATAAGGTAGAGGATGAAATCGAGGAAAGAACTTGTGGCATTGATCGGGATGCGGCGGGGGCTTTCAAATCGTACGTACGTCCAACCCATGATGATCCGACTGTCTACTTAATGTGCTCTCAACCTCAAAAAAGCTTATTTAAGCTGGCGCATTTTCACGTGTACTCTTAGTGACGAGCGTGTCTCCACCAACAAAACAATACAAAAAATCAATAACATGGCGTCAAGTAACAGACTAGTGCTTTGAGCACCCCAAGCCCACTCTGTCGCACGGCTCTAGGATCCTCTCATGGGGATAACAACACTGTCCAGCACCACAATGGAGACGTAGACATAACGGACTACGCAACGCTTCAAGGAGAAGACGTGACGTGGTAAAGGATGGAAAGCAGCACGACGAGCATCATGACCATCATGGGAAATCCCACCATCGAGCGCCACTCTTTTGACGACTTTGGAGGACGAGGTTGCGTTGGAGGTTCCGTTGGGTGTTGACTGGGAAATGAGAACTATGACCCTTCGTTCTATACATATGTACGTTTCCTTTGGCTGGTCGTTGTTCAGATGTGACTTACTTACATCAACAAAGGTTGTAAGGTACCCGAATTGCCAGCAATCCACATCGTCGTGTTACAGCTTGATGAAACTCTGATAACATCCAATCAGCTGATCCCACCGTTGACAACAAATGGGGTCTAGTATATCTTTCTTCATCCCTTTTGCCTTGTCATTCTTTAACCTGCTCTGAAGGACCCCCGCTTATCCATCAGGAAACGCGTGCAACTGGCATCGACCAAGCAACATACTAGTAAACGTGGAACTTTCAGCATCATTGATATTTTGACTGGCGACATTCCTGTTGTTCACAATCATTTTTACAAAATGTCTTACTGGGGCACAGGATAGATCTGTCAATGAGCATGACTCCTCTGAAAAGGGGCAAAGGCCATACAGGTTTCTAATTGGCCTAACAATGTCGCCACTGATCTTCAAGTTCTAAATACCTTCACGAGACGACTCACTTCGTATCCGATGCATAGTATCGTAAGTATCAGGTTGTTCAACCATCTAACCCCACACGTCTGAGAGATGTCGCTGGGACGAGTTCGAGAAAACCAATTTTGTTGTTCTACTTGACACAAGGGAACATCAGCCTACTGATTAAGTAGCAAAATACGATATACAATTAACGAAATGTCGTCCCAATGAGTTTTCCGCCGGCTGATTCAATTTCCAGTTATGATGGGGAAATTTTCCATATTCTTCTTTCAGTAGGGTCCAGGAATCGAGGAGGGTTTTGATCCTCAATCGTAACACCCTCCAGGGGTCCCGTAGACCAAGATGTTTGTCGACCCAAGAACTGATGTAAACCAAACTCCCAGATATTTCCGAATTCCTCTGACAATGGAATGAGGAAATTGGAAAAAAAAGGCAAGCATCTGCGGTAAGGCGTACTGCGAGATATGGTTGTTTAATTGCTTCCCAATGCTCCATTTCGGTAAGGATGTCCCATAAGGAAAACCAATCCTACCAAATGGTTTAGATCAGAAAACATAGAATTGAAATAACGATACTTGGTGTGGAGGCGGCGGTCTGAGTCGAGCAATAATCTCGCGGAGGGACTTGGCCCATTCAACTGTACCGTCGGCGGATTCAGGCTCACTGTAAGGCATCCACGGCAAACCGGTAAAGCGGCCATACATTTCCTGAGAAAGATGGTCACTCTTGAAGTATAGATGTATCCTTTGAATTGGCTTGACATCGGAAATCTTTGGGTTAACTCGGGCTCGGGAACGAATTAATGTGTTGATTGACGAGGGGCCGGTGATTGCATTAACGTTCGCGATATGAATTTCACTCAGGGAGGGAGTTATGGGCTGATTCCCGTTCTTCTTACTAACAGTGAGACCTTTGATATCGGCCTGCGAGAGGGCGTGGACTTCCAAATGGATAAGTGAGGCAGTCTCTTCCAGCAATTTTAGTAGCGAGCCCCTGACGATCGGACAGTTTAATATGAGCTTGCTTAGACTGCACCCTGATCTCGTTATCAACGAGGTTATTGGGTCTATCGTAAGATTGTCAAACTCGATGAGAAGGTTGATGAGATTCGGGAGGACGAGAGTGTCGAAAAGCGCTATGGGAAAGGCTGGGCCGTCTTGACACCCTTTGAGAAGTAGCTGTTGTAAATCCATATGTCGAACAATTCCATGGGGCGTCCCGTTGTTCACAATTTTAGTAAAAGTACACGTTTCCATGTGCGGAGCATTTGAGAAGACTTTCCAGGCATAATCAAGGTTGGGCAGATTGATGGTAATTGTTTTGAGTTGGCTCCACGGCAAAACTAGCCTAGAAAACTGGTCGCCGCATAAGACGCGCTTCGACATAAAAGAAACGCCACGAAGCTGAGGAGCAAGGGAAAATACTGAGGTGTTATTGATCTGTGGAGTCGCAGTTGTAAGCGTGAGAGTACGAAGGTTGCTAAGTTTTGATGCGAATTCCAGAGATAGCACGGAATGCCTCCCACTGAGACTCAATTTTTAGTTCCCCAATTTGATTGGAGTGTTTTACAAGTGTAGCTAGCAGCCGACTCGGCTTCGCGCATGCGCCTAGGTTGATGGAAACGTCGATTGAGAGGGGCAGCCCACCCGCCCGCGCGAAATGTGTTTTCACTGAGGAAGGGTCGACTTCATGGGTCATCCCAGCATAGATACGTGGGGGACGGTTCCAGAGACGGGGAGTATTCAATACGACGTGGCGCCAGCGGCGACAGACTTGCGCTAGACTCCATTGTCGACGTAACATGCCAGAGGAGGTTTTGATGTCGTCTGCGACGTAAATCGCAAATATTTCTGATAAGAGTTCTGTGGGGAGCCGACGAATGGGGGCCACGAGAGATATTTGATAGAATACAAAGCGACGGTATTCTTCAAGCCGTCGAAGAATTGTTTGACGAACTTCTAGCGAACGTCTGTCCATCTCCTCGAGGTGGACAATTCGTTCCTCTGTTTCAGCAATGATCCCTCGCGTAACCGATTGAAGTTGCAAGGGTTCAACAGAAGGAATTTCAGGAGGGGGATTGGGCATCGTTCCAGTTGAGGACCCACAACTGAAACACGGAGAATTTTCGAACGTGTCCATGTTCCCGGTCAGTGCCACACCGGCAGCGTAATTTGCAGGACCCTGGTTCTGGCGTGTAAACTTGGAAGCGTCACACTAAGCAGTGGCGGCCACGGTGACTCCCAATCGCGCTTGACAATTCGACGATGAGAGAGGTGATGGTAAATGTCTGTAAAAGTAAAACACCTCTATCTAATCAACATATCTTTGGCACGTGTCCCGACGTCCTTTCAAGCTCTTCGCCGTTGTATACTAGTGGGTAACGACTACGCAGCTTATCCTCCATGGCCTCTGGGGAAAAGTCTGAGTCGAATCTACAGGATGTCTTCCACCGTCTCGTTCGTGCCCTCGGCGGACGAGGGGAGGCGACGGCGGCTCCAACCACATTAACGACGCCGCAGCAGACTCCGACTACAGACGTCGAAATGGGTCCCGAACTGAAGAGAGTGCCTAGCAAGGCTTCTTCAAAGTCTAACAGAAATCATTCCAGCATTTCTGAGCGTCTTAAAAGTTTCGGGAAAGACTTGGGAATGTCCAGGAGGGGAAGCACAGCAAAACCCTCTGATAGCCCACTCTCACCAAGGACGACACTCGTCACGATTCCTGGTACTACAACAGGATTGGCGGAGGCAGGTCCATCCCAGATTCAGTCAGGTCCTGCGCCAATCAGCCATGCAAAGTTGTTGAGCATGGTAGAGGAGGAATCAGCGGCCGACACCCCTCCACCTGGTACGGAGGAGCCTCCGGAGCCCACCTCCCTGGCTCAGAGGATTCAAATGCTAGTCGACTCACTTCCTACACCGAACTCAGACATCTCTCGCTCACCTCGTATCACAAAACCCCCTGCTCGAGACCCCAGCGGACGTCCCATTCCCCCTCCAAATCCCACACCAATCAAAGATTCACGCTTAAAGGCTTTTCTCAACAGTGCCACCATCATGAATGGTTCAAGTAATAAAGGAATGCCAAGTATCTGGAGCATTCTGGAGAGTTTGGGAGCACCCCCGCATGACGGCAACGACCAAACGGGGGATGGTAACCCCCAACACGAACCTGGAGAGGGCGACAATGAAGGTGACGAAGAACGAGATATCTACTCGGACAGCTCCAGCGTCATGATGTATTCTCCGCTGCTGCCGACCAAGGAAGATCTTGTTGAGCTCGCTGAGCTCGTGGTGCTTGAGGCGGGGCAGGAGGTTGAGGTGGCCACAGGGGCGTCCGGCTGGACGACGATGTGGCCGTTTTCTGCGTGGAATCCCCCTAAACAGCAGCAGCCGCTCGTTATGGCCCCAGACAGTCCTCATCCTCTTGGACGTTCGAATGTTGGTGGAAAGAAGAGCTCCGACAGCACTGCCAGTGACGGAAAGGTCAAAACCCAGAGTCGTCCTCGTGGCTGGGTTCCTTCGCCCACCAAGCTCTCCGTTCAGGCATTCTGGTGGGGTTATCGACTGTGAGTATCCTAGGTCCCACCTTAGTTCTGTTTTGAAACTCTGTTGCTCCAGATACCTCCCACCTCCAGTCCTGGCGGTCCTCAGCGACAAGACTCTCGAAGCTACGAAGCGCGCCGCAATGATCACCACGGCCCTCACCTGGTTCTTCAACAACCTTCCGATCACCTCTTTTCCTGCTCCTTTGCAACCTGCACTTCTGCTCCTTCAACGTATCGCTCCTTTCCTTGGGTACATCGGCACCTTCATCTCATGGAGTTGGAGCACTATCAAGAGTTACGATGTCGGTTAGTGGTTCCTTCTTACCTCATCTTGTGTATAGTCTCATATGGGTTACAAATAGGCTTCGGAGTCTACCTGACCGCAACCTGGATTCTTCCAATCGCCTTGATCCCCGGAACGTGGTACGAGAATGATTTCCCCAAATCGCCAACGCAGTCCCCTATTCCTCTTCCGCCTGTCTCCCTTCCAGGACAACTATCCTCAGGATCACCGCCTCCTTCATCCAACACACCAACAATACCAAGTTCACCATCAAACCCACCTACTATACCAACACCTACCTCTCCGCCACCCATCTCTCCGCCACCTATCGTGTCACCCTTGCCGACACCTGCTTCGCCAATCATACCAGCTACCCCAACCAGCCCTCCAGTCGAGGTCTCATCCGTGCCCGCCTCCATTCACCCTCCCATCCCAGCAACTCCTGAAGAACTACCCCGTGTTCCGCCCATCGTCTCCCCAGGTTCTCCGTTGATGTTCCAGCTATTGCAGAGTAGGAAGGTCCCTACTGTACCCCTGCCTGAGGAAAACCCCACTTCTAGCCAGGTGACGAAACGGCGAAAGGGGAAGGAACGGGAGAGGAAGGTTAAGGATAAAGCGAAAGCTTTGTTCACTCGGGGGAATTCCAAGTGATTTGGGTCACGGTGATCCCCTCGCTCCTCGCTGGACGCTTCCCCATTCTTGATTTGCGTCATCGCAGCGGGCGGATCGGGAGCATTCTGTATCTTCCTCGTGGATCTTTTTGATGATTATGACCTTGACGAACTTTTCACACACCTACTCCTTGTCGACGAAGGTGCTTCACTCTGCCCCTCACATACCCCATCCCACCCAAACTTCAAGTTCACTCTTGCCATGTGCCTTAGATCGGTATTCCTTGATCTCCCATGAGCTTATGCGGCCCCGCGCCCCACCTCAGGCGCGAGTCCCTCTATACACCAGAACCCAGGCTACCGCGAATTCCACCCAAGTTTTCACCTGTGCTTTGGCGTGGATGCATATTTCCCGCTTCTCTCAATGGGGTGGTCAGAAACACTTTGTAATCATTCTTGTACTGTAGGACGATGTAACGTATCATATTGCTTGACAACTTTGTCGATATTATTACTTTGCTCAAAGAGCTCTTCAATCAGCAAAATATCGATGTGGGCGGTAAGATGGAAAATATGCAGCACCGTCATAAGCTACCGTTTTGGCCTACTCAAGCTCATACTTCATCTATTTTTTTAAAAATTTTGAGACCCAACCTCATCAATGCTCGGGCAGCTTGGACTAACGGGCCGTAATCAACATTGCTCCAGACACAACACGTCCATGTAGTCTTCTCCAGTAAGTATTCATATTCGTAGGTCAACCGTCCTTCCGGAGCTGATAGATCCCACCACATATATAGATCGTTATCATGGTCATCACAAGGTCATCAGAATCTCAACCTCAACATGTCCATGTCAGCATTTGAGGCTATACCTCAACCTTGTCTCAAGATGTCCGCATCTGAGGTTATACCTCAACGTTCAAACTTGGGTGCCTAGCACTCGCAGCTGACCTTCCATCGGATTCCGGAAACTATGACAGCTTTGAAATTTGGGCTTGATACCGTACTTGCGGAAGTTTGGCTCTAAATGCAGCCTTGCAGTCCTGACTTGACTTCTAGGAATTCCCATCTACAATCGGTGCCGGTATGACGTCTCCGGTCAGTCCGTCATCGTTTAAAAGAAGAGCAACGCAAGACCTCACTCTTCATCACCCCCAGATCCATTTCTCTGACAGCGTCTCACAATGGTTCTTAAACTCTACGGATTCCACCTCTCCACTTGCACTCAAACCGTTGCAACAGTGTTGCACGAGAAAAACGTTCCGTTCGAGTTCATCCCAGTCGACATTAGCAAGGGCGAGCAGAAGGCCCCAGAATACCTCGCGATCCAACCATTCGGACAGGTTCCCTACATCGTGAGCTTCGATCTCTCTCCTTATCACGCAACTGCTTCATAGGATGTCCGACTTCAGGACGACGATGGATACATCCTGTACGAAAGTAGGGCCATCGCTCGCTATATCGCGGCCAAGTACGCCGATCAAGGAACACCCCTCCTTCCAAAGGATCCAGAGGCATACGGGCTCTCCGAGCAAGCCGCGTCGATTGAAACCTTCAACTTCCATCCACATGCGTCCAAAGCCGTTGCCGAAAACGTGTTCAAAAAGTGAGCCGATTTTATGGTCTTGCCACATTGTATCGCGTTCTGACACAGTTTCCCCCCCAAGATACCGTGGATTGACCCCAGACCCTGCGGTTTATGAGGCAGCAATCTCCGCCCTGGACAAGCATCTGGATGTGTATGACACAATCCTCGCAAAGCAGAAATACCTAGCTGGAGATGTCAGTCTCACATCGTGTGTACCATCTGATGACGCGATACTTACCGATGTGTTTGCAGGAAATCACTCTCGCTGATATCTTTCACGTCGCGTACGGCTCATACCTCCCTGCGGCGGGGAGTAACGTCATAGAATCAAAGCCCAACGTCGATCGGTACGTGTCCATGGATCTGAGTGTCGTCGGCATGTTTAATGTGGCTTGTTATTCAGGTGGTTCAAGGAGGTTTCCGGAAGGGCTTCCTGGCAGGCGGTCAAGGATGGTGTCAAGGGTACCGCCTAAGAGTAATAGACATCATGTATTAGTTGCAAGACTGTCAACGTGGGCATGCCGAATGAATTCACACCTACCATATGATAGTCCGAATACGGCCAAGAGGTCTTCAAGTTAACCGTTGATTTTCGACGATGGGTTAGCGACGCAATTGCCTAAGCGCGGCAAACCCAGCTCAATTGTCTCGATCGGATGCAGTGAATGTTCTTTGTAAACACCACGTATACGCGTCTTCAAATTATCAGTCATATGTGATGCCTTATCGGGTACCTGGCTGTGCTAAGCATTGAACTATTAGATTGAACACGTCTCAGGGAAAGGAAGTACACACCTAAGAAATTGTTCCCCCGTGGCCGCAATAGACGTCTTCGGTCAAGTTCTTGTTGTGTGAAAGAGGCGTTCTTGAAACCACTGGCGAAAACTTCGTGCGTAGTGCGTTAAATTGGGTGGAGTACGCAGAACATGGAAGGGGTTTAACGACAGGAATCGGAAGCACGACGGGGCAAGGGGATACGGGTGTGTCTAACAATCCGACTGATTATGTTGAAGCCTGGCAAGCTAGACCCTGCTCACGGCTTAAATTGAGAGTTTTGTACGTTTTCATCATAGGGAAGATTTCGGAAAAAAGCTTACAAGCCAGGCTGATTCTCTACTTGAGGATACGTAGAACCTGTTCGCCTGCATCACAAGCGTGGACGATGAGGCTATTCTCTTAGATTTCGCTATGCCTGGAGGAACCGAGTCATGACTCGAAGTCCATATTGCGGTGCTGCTTAAAACTTATAGCAGTCATCCCAAGTCACCGGTTTTCTAGATAAAATCGTGGAGAATTTGGAGAGCTTCAACCAAGGATCAAGCGGAAGCATTCAGAGAGGATCAAAGTTTGGATCAAGCCGCAGCTGCGGAAACGCCATTGATAAGTCGGACTTCGAAACGCCTTGAGCCACAATCCCCCTTGCCCTCATCTCTTCTTGTATAACTGTGTGCGTATCCCTACTATTACCGTAAATTTTACTGAAATCCTCTTAGAATCTCTTGAATCTCTCGTCGTAACAACATCTTTTCCCAACATGAAACTTACCACGCTCGTTACCATCATTGCGGGCAGTACTGGTCTTCGTACGTTCCAACACCTTCAATGCTCCGATAGCCTACTGACATGCACAATTCCTCTGGAAACAGTCCAAGCAGGCGCAGTTCCCAACCCCGCGCTTTTAATAACGAACAGTGTCTCCACCCCCAACGGTGATAACTCAGCCTTCAAACACCTACGCTTTGGACTCCTCGTCCCCAACCGGGCGAATTCCGTAGAATGGCTTCCTGTTCCCCACGCTGCTGGCTCAGCGGGGGAAAACGGACCTGCTCAGCACCACCCGTGCGGAGGAAGTAACCGATTCAGGAACCGCATCCAGGTGAAGACCTTTGAAATCACCAATTTCTTCCGTGGTGCGTTTGGATGGCCGTTGAGGGAACCTCCTTTCCACCACCCTCACCACCCTCACCACCCTCACCACCCTCACCACCCTCATCACCCTCACCACCCGCATCCTCACCCGCACCCTCACCCGCCCCCCAAAGAACACCCTGGAAAGCATCACCACGAGCACCACCACAAAGGTCCCGAGGGTGAGCACGGCGGCGAGGATCGCTTCCCCACACTTCTCCCCATCGTCAGCACCACCGCTCCCATCAAGCCCTACTCACACGGCTACCAGTTCCACCGCTTTGAGCTCAGCAACAACTTCGGAGTCAGGCTCCATCGGGCCCTGATGGCCCTTGGCCCGTGGGAGGGCCGAGCTCTCGCATTTGTTCTTGGTAAGTTTTCTTTTTATATCTTTGGTTATCGTTTTGTTGCTGATTCGTGTATTGTGTAGGATGTGGTATCGGCGTCCTCTTGAGGATGTTCTGGGTCTTTGCGGTAGTGTTGGTCCGTCTCGTTAGGGGCAATAGGACCGTTGAGGCGCACGGGTACTCCCCTGTCGCTTTGAGTGCCGAGGATGTTATGGTCCCACCCCCCAACTATGTGTTTGAGGCGGACGTGAAGACTCCCATTTTTGTTGAGGACGTGAAGACTCCGGTTGTCGCTGAAGAGGTTAAGGAGACCAACGAGGATGAATCTAAGTGAAGAGGTGCTGAGCTCTTATTCAATCACTAGTAGTACCACAGAACGGACTTGATTTGTTAAATTGTTAGTATGATACAAATATATCCTCTCCTTCGTGAAGCTTTTTCGTTGCTTTCTCGACTCCGTCTGTCCTAGGCTCTCCTGATTTTGTCGCAACATAGATAAATTGTAAGACAGTTCCACGGAATCTTGGATGAGTGGGGTTCCACCAACGCGGGCTTCGACCTCATTTCGACGTATATATGATATGCCTTTGATCGAACTCGCGCCACTTCCAGTTCTTGTGAGGGAACTTCCAAGGAACTTCTCATATTTTTCTAAAAGCATCGATCAATAGTCGGATCCTCTTTTGTAAATGACTCCAGGAGTTCAGACTGAAATAGTCTCCATCCAAGGAATGGATGTAAGCTAAATTCTGGTATATATCCAGTGCTGAACACGAAGTTACAGGTTTTCAATATTTGTACCTGTTTATATCTGCCAATGTTATAACTCGCCATCAGCTAATTCTCTCCGACAGTGTTATGTCCTCGCATAATCTCGACAAGTTCTCAAGAATTCCAGGTGAAGAAGTTTGGGTGGAGCGGCAACCCTTTCTCCTCTCTCGTGGTTATCGTTTACGGCCACGGTGTGACCCAGACTGGGTGCCATCTTGGAAGTTACCAAGAAAAAAGCCAATCCAATATATTTCTGAATGTGAGGATGCCCTACGAACTGGTCTCGAATTCGTACGGTTTTTTAATATATCTCTCGGGGCTATCGACTTACATGTCTCAGAGTGGCAGAATAATGGACGCAGTCAGAATCCACGACGGCCCAGGGTCGTCATCAAGGAAGTCGCTACTTGGAAAGAAGAGATCTCAATTGCGTTGTACCTGTCATCGGAGGCCTTGCGGAAGGATCCTAGGAACTGCGCTGTGCCGATATTGGACGTTTTACTCCTCCCAGACACCGACGAGTTGGCTTTGATCTCCTTCCGTTTCGACGTGTAGGAGAAGTTGCTGAAATTATTCTTCAATGGTTGAAGGTAGTATCAAATGTTCTCTTTTTTTGCGTACCTTCTGCAATCTTTGTTTTTTAACAGGGCCTCGAGATGATGCACGAACATAATATTGCATATCGGTGCGACTTTCCTTGTATGAGGCTCCCTTCCTAGCTGACCCCTACACAGTGATGCATGCAGGTTGAACCTCATGATGGATCCTTCTCGGGTCATACCAGGGAGCTTCCATTTTGGGAGCTGGCGAACTGTTGATGGTATCCGCCCGATTGTTTGGCGTGAACGCTGGTCGGTTAGACCGGTCAAGTACTTTTTCATCGACTTTGATTTATCCCTTCGCTATTCATCCAACGTTAATCGTTGCGAGGTTGGGCAGATTGGACAGGATCGTTCGGCGCCTGAAATGCTGACTCCTAACATTCCGTACGACCCTTTCAAGGCCGACGTATATCAGTTAGGAAATGTCATTCTCAACATGATTGCGGTGCGATCTCTGCTGTTTGGTATTACAAATTCTGACTGATTATGTAGGAATATGAGGAGGGTCTTGAGCTGTTCGAGGTCGTTGGGAAAGCTATGACCAAATTTGACCCGGACAAGCGGCCTCTTGCATCTGATGCCGTCCAGCTATAGAGACTCTCATCGTCGGTCTGACCTCATCTTCCTTGAAACGTAGGGTCTGGCGGATTGGTGATATCAGTCTCGGGACTTTTGATCGCTTTTTGGTCACCTATTTCGGGGCAACTCGTTTCTTTTAGGTCACCAGACTGTAAGGCTGTCGAGGATAGGAAGTGTAACTCCATTCAAACCTGCAGCCCATCGTCGAGCACAATGAGCTTCCCTCAAGGCCATCCTGCTGCTGCTTAGGGTGTGGTTCCCCATGCGCATCCTGCAAATCCTTATCATCTCGGCGGGAGAGGTCTAGATAAAAATGAGTACTTATCTATCCTCCTCTTTACATCAGATTTTCCCTGAAAATGATTATTGTTTAGGTTCGTTTGGCGAAATGCCTGGTTGCCGACAGACCCAATCGCAAACGTCCAACCTGTCGCTCAAACTTACAGCAGTGGGCATCTGAACTCAGAACTGAATGATGAATGATGGTGTTGATACGTAAATTTCAGGTCGACCATCATTCTCAGAGACCGATTTTGCTGCGGCACGGATCAGCTCCGAGGAGTGGTTGAGACCCCAGTATGTTCTTTTCTGTATGGTCGTCATTCCCTGCGCTGACATTTTGTATTAGGCCCTTGTAATTTTTTTTTTAGATTCACACCCTGCTAATCTACACTAGAACACCAGCAGCAAGGTCACAGCACCCAGTACGCTACCCAATGGGTCACAACGTGTATTTCAAGGCAAATTGCTCCTACGAACAGATGTATCTCATTCTCTCCCTTCTTTTGCAATTCTTTTGTGCAGATTGGCGTCGTCTCAACCAGTACTATCCGGTGGATCCCAGTCGACAGTCGAGTATTCTCAGGCTCGATTTCCCGTTGGAACACATGCTTTTGGGCGGTAAGAAATAAAATACTTCTTCGCATCTTTCGTCAATGTGACGATAGCACCAGGCCATTTGGCAGTGGAGGTTACTCTGATTCTTACATGTCTGGTGAAAGCCACGGGTCTTCCGGAAGCCTCTACAACCCGTCAGTTCGAAGCCAGGTGAGCGGAAGCCAAACTGGCAGCATTGCACGAGGGGGCGCAGCAGAAACCGACGACGATGACATCTATGCTTGAGCTCCAATTTTCGCCTCTACCTATGCCCACTTCATATGTCCCGTTCTTTGGCTATAGCTGTCTTCCCTTGTACCATCGGCATCTTCTTATCTGGCTTCCATATACGTGTGTCTGCTTTTCTCCAGTGGTCTGGCGTTGTAGTATCCCTTCGGGAAAGTTCCTCTTACCAATTACGTTGTAATTCGATGATATACGCTGCATCTACTCTTTATCTCATTCAAAGTTAATAGTTTGGTGAAGACAAATTCGAGGTAGTAAAAATTGAAAGGGCTATTGTCGCCACTACCGTCCATGTGCGCAAAGTGTAGCAGCATAAGCAGCTTCGTAGGTTCATCATTAACGCCGCGTCACTGTTGTCGTCTTTGGACTGGGGCGGTATTTGGCCCGAAAACTCTGTAGTCATCCCGCCTGAATCGATGGAAGCCTGGGCAGGGTGAGCATAGTTGGTGCCAAACATAGATGGTGGACTTTGGGTGGACTTGCGAGCCTCTATGTATTTGCATGCGCAGTTGGACAACTTCATTGGGAGCTGCGCTCACGATTTCACCGTGTTTTACCCTGACCGACGACCGTCTGTGTCGAACGCCCTCAGAGGTTAGAACCCAGCGCGCCGACTTGGCGCCGACAGACGCATCTTCACAATAATGAGGAGAGTGAGCGTCAACAAAGAAACTGGTTGGTGGCCAGCAAACCGTGTTTATTCGCTCAAAAAACGTTGCAGGCTTCAAGCTTCGTATCACAGGGACGAGATTCCCAAAATCCTGAAGCTGAAGACTATCACTCTAAAGTCCCAGATTTTATTTAACAGATAAGTATATCAACGCACATGAGGATGAAAGATACTACGCAGACAACACAGAAGAAAAAGAAAAAGACTAGAATGAAAGAGAGAAACGTGACGATAGAAATGTGGCATGAATAGATGAGATAGATGGATAGCCAGATAGATCATCACCAGCCTGTCCGCAATATCTATCCTAGAAATCGCCTTTTAATTTGTTAGCGGGGGGTTGGTCCGTAATTCCACAACGCTACTCGTTTGGTTAATTGAGAACTCGCAACATCACATCATTTAAATCCAATCCAAAAGGTGGAAGAGGCAGATGCCCCCTATCACGAGTCACTCGGTCGACTATACCCTCCTCTCCCACCATAGCTCTGCATCGGCGCCCTCCCGGACTTGTCGGCAACCTCGGTCGTTCATACGAAATAGCAGCACCTCCAGGGGGAGGAGCAGCATCCCAAGGGGGTTCAGGGATCTGAATGCTGGACCGGGGGTTGGGTAGGTAGGTCGGCCATAGGCCAAAAAAAAGATTTTTGGAACCCTCTACAAGATAGTCCTAAATTGGTTTTCCAAGGTGATTTACAGTATTCCTGCATCTAGAATATCATTGTATAGTACATTATCTTGACTGGATATTATATTTCATTATATCCAGCCCAATTTCTGGCTTCAAAATTGTTTTTCACAGTCTAATCTTCATCAAATTTTTGTCTAATGTTTTAATCAATCACAATTTACTGACAAACAGTTAGAGACCAGTTCTTGACACCAATTGGTATGCTGTGTGACCTGATTTCAAAACTTGAATCATCTTGATGCTTTCGACACATCAGACACTCTAAACGGATGCCTGTGCAGTGTGGTATTGCACTCAGGATGCAATGGCTTGGTAAAATGGTTGGATGTGAGACTCAACAGGTGAGTATCAGTCTTGCACAAGTTAATCACTACACTCACTTATTTTTTAGTACCACCTACAATGTGTTGCATTGGAGATAGCCCCACGAAATTGGGTATGTGAAGCAAGAGGACTCAGATCCACCGATCCAGTACGTTGAGTCCCACGGGTGGGGGGGGGGAGGTACAGCCACCACCGGCTACCCGGCTAGAAACTTCTCCGAAGTGTGTCCTCCTTTGCCTTCCACATCACTTACATTCTGAGGTCTCCGCTGGTGTACCAAACTCTTGTATAATAACTTGATATAGCACAGTATGATACCATTTGCCAGTTCCAGCTGAAAAAGAAGAGAAAACGGCCCCAATCTTCTCCAACCATACCAGGCACCTCCCAACATATACTTTATGGCCTCGAACATTGCTACATGAATAAAGATAGTAATTCAATTGAGTTAATACTTTTATTTGTCTTGAGAAACCTCTAGCCTCGAGTCCAGTTACACTTCACCAAGACCAGTCTGAGCCCAATGCCAGTCACATTGCCAAAGCACAACAGTTACATTTATTCCTCCCATTCAATAACAAGCATGTTCTATTGAATTAAATCGTATTCCGCTACTAGACGTAATAAAATAGTGGTCGAGCATGGGACTGAGGTCGGCGTCGACCAAGCGTCGACTTGCGTTTCCGAAGCTCGGAAATAGCCGCTGTCAGTGGCACGTGACAGATCGGACGTCCAGCATCAGTGGATCTGAGTCCTCTTGATGTGAAGCCTTAGAGGATGAGAGTGATCATGATGATGATGTCATATTGCCATATATAGGCATGTGCCTGATTACGTAGGTAGGTAGGTCAAGCACACAGGGCCTTACAAAAAAATTCGACCCCAGCTACTTTTTTTAAATTCTTGAACCCCCTTGCAGCATCCTCATCCGCCCTATCCCTCCTATACTCCCTCTCCCACCACCCCGTAACAGAGCTACTGCCCGTCGTAGGCGGAGGCCCAGCAGAACGGTCATAAAAGCTGCTACTGGCACTCGAAGGCGGTGGACCAAACGGCAAAGTGGAAAGCGGTGCCGAGGGTGGGTAGTCGGCTCCTGGCCTTCCCCCTCGTGGGTAATACTCCGATGTATTGGGTGGTCCTGGACCTGAAGCGGATGAAGGTGTGCACATGTGACATGCTGTCAGACATCGGATCCTCGGCCCGTGCTGTTGTGGAGGGACTGTATAGTCCACACCCACAACGCAGAAAACTGACGTCTGTGACGACCCAAGCATGGTAGTCTTTTGCAGAAATGTTTGTACTCCTGAACCAGGTTCAGAGCGCCCATGGGATGGGTGACAATGTGTGTTGACCACTGTGAGGCATCATTGGCATTTTGCCGGAGCACGTTTCGTGCACCAAACGCTCTCAGCACAGTGAAATAAGCTGAAGGTGGCGCGGGTCTCGGGAGGGACGGAAGCATATGCGATAGTCCAACGGAAGGCGACAACACAGAAGAAAATAGTGCGGAGATCTCGTTTCATGACAATTTTACGAGCATCGGATGATGGAGGCGAAGAAGATCAGTCGAAATGAGAAGGAAGACAAGCCATGTTGCCACACACACACACATGAGACCTCAGAAAGCTGTAAAAAGCGAGTCCACTCATTCCTACGGTAGCAACAAGGGCTTACAATTGAAAATTTCAGACCCGGCTCTCGTAGTGTTGCAGCCGGGCATTGAAGAGGGTGTACCTCTCTTTAATTCCCTTGTCCAGATGCTCCGTCATTGTTGATCAAATGCAGATGGATGGCCACGATCGAGGATAACCGGGTATGCTGGGGCAGAGATTGTGCATGAGGCTCCTCGGAGATCTAACATGGTGCGTAGTCAAACTCCATTCGGCTCCCGTTCTTCCTCTCTAAGTTTCCCAGTGGCGTCGTATTCCAGATACGCGGTATGTCTGACAAGCTCTGGCTCTCGAATGTACGGGAGTGGCACCTTGGGTCACTGGGATGTGAACCTGCGTACATAGACGGCAAACAATATGCGTGGCCAGGCAGCCAGATACTCACTGAGGAGGTTGGATTGGTTTAAAAACTTCCGTCCATGAGCGCAACGTGTAGCAGCATAGGCAGCTCCGGCGGTTCATCAACGCCACGTCATTGTCGTCTTTGGAGTAATTGGCCCGAAAACTCTGTAGTCATCCGCCCTGAATCGATGGAAGCCTGGGCAGGGTGAGCGTAGATGGTGGACTTGCAAGCTAAGGATGCATGCGCAGTTGGAAAACATCATGATGATGGGTACCTCGAACCCGGATTCCCGAGACCTTGCCCTGGCAGATAAAGAGACGAATACTGTTCGTCATCAACTCCCTTGTCATCTTCCCCTTCCTCAACATCTTGAAGATTTTCGGTATTTTCATGCATACCTGTAATGACAGGGTATATGGCGTTCGTTTGGCAGACCCTTCTGATAGCTTCCAGTCGGTATCGCTTGCTGGTGGTGAACGTATCAATTTGGCACCAAAATACAGGCTGGTGTTAAAACTTCAAGGACCTGGAGGATCACCGCCCGATGCTTGAGTGCCATTCGAACGATCATGGGCCACCCTCGCAAGTTGGTTCGCCGTTGTATGGGATGGCAGCATGGCGTAGTACCACCCAATGCCCCCGCACCTGTCGCAGGTCTGGCATTTGCCAATGGAAGGGGCCAGGGCTCTCAGAAACCCGTTGCGTCCTTCATCTGGGCGTGTATTAAGTGAAATCCGGTCAAGGTAGTAACGGTAGCAAACACTCACATATATACTTAGTTTGCACTCAGTTGAAGTTCACCCTAACTTCATCGTGTTTTACGCTGGCCGTCTGTCGATTCTACGTTGGCTGTCGAACGCTGTTGATAGTAGGCTAGCACCCGCATCGACAGGCGCATCTTGACAATAATGATAAGAGTGAGCGTCAACAAAGAAGCTGGTTGGTGGTCCGACTTCAAGTTTGTGTGATACTCCAAGTCTTTGGCAACACTCACAAAAAACGCCGCTCCAAGATGCGTATTACGCTGATGAAACAAAATCCTGGAAGCTGAAGCGCTGAAGACTATCGCTCGAAAGTTCCAGACCATTTTATTTAACAGATATATCAACGCACATGAAAATGAGAGAGAGATACGCAGACAACACAAAAGAAAAAGAAAAAAAACTAGAATGAAAGAGAGAAACGTGACGATAGAAATGTGGCACGAATAGATGAGATAGATGGATAGCCAGATAGATCATCACCAGCCTGTCCGCAATATCTATCCTAGAAATCGCTTTTTAGTTTGTTAGCAGGGGGGTTAGTCAGTAATTCCACAACGCTACTCATTTGGTTGAGTAAGACATCACATCAACTATAAAAACACTCACATCCAATCCAAAATCACTTCAAGGCCTCGAAGGCGGAGGAGGCATATACCCCCTATCACGAGGATCACTCGGTCGACTATACCCCCCTCTGCCACCATAGCTCTGCATTGGCGCCCTTCCAGGACCACCACCTGCCGGAGACCTCGGCCGTTCATACGAAATGGCAGCACCTGCAGAGGGAGGAGGAGCAGCATACTCATCCGCCCTATCCCTCCTATACTCCCTCTCTCCACCCCCCGTAACAGTGCTACTGCCCGTCGTAGGCGGAGGCCCAGCAGAACGATCATAGAAGCTGCTACTGGCGCTCGAAGGCGGTGGGCCAGACGGGAGAGGGGAAAGTCGTGCGGAGGGTGGGTAGTCGGCTCCTGGCCTTCCCCCTCGTGGGTAATACTCGGATGTACTGGGTGGTCCGGGACCTGGAGCGGATGAAGGTGGCGGGTACTCTTCACGTTGTCTTTTGAGTGGTGGTCGTGCATCGTCTGCAGGGCGCCGTACAGGACTTGGACTGCGTGGTCTGATTCGGGAGTATGATGCGCTTTGGCTGACGGGTGGTGGGGGTCCTGAGCGGCCACGGTCTAGATCTCGAGGAGGAGGAGGAGGGGGGTAGCGGTCGTCTGCTGAAGGGGGACCTGGATCAATGAATCACATTAGCACGATACCTCAAGAAGGAGTGATGATGAAAAAGACACAAACCTCTAGGAAAATCCCTATCCCAATTCTGGCCTCTGGAAGGTGGTAATGGTGCATCACGATCAAACCTTTGACCTGGCCTCTCCCTCTCCCTATCCACAGGAGGCGGCTGATCTTCCCAACGAGGCGAAGCAGCCCTAACCTTCCAATACGCATCTTCCTCCGCAGGAGTCCACCTCCTCCTTGGGTAAGGAGAAGCCGAAGAGGGGTACCAGTCTCTAGAAGGTGGTGGTGGGCCAGAAGAGTACCTCCCAGGTGGATCATCAAACTCCCTGGACCGAGGAGGGAAAGGCTGCAGTTGCCTCTGTCTGTCTCTAGCAAGGTCGGCTGCTGAAGGCGGCGAAAAGTCTCGATAGTTTCTTTCGGTATTATACCTAGGAGGTGGAGGTGGAGCGTCAACGTCCATCGATTCTCGTCTATCATGATAGTCCGGCCGATAGCTCCCAGACCTTTCTCTCGAGATTCCACGGGGAGGGGGACGATAAGGTGGCCGATTCGAAGGGGTAGGGGAAGCACCAGGTCCTTTCTGTTGTGCACGATCAGGCGATCGAGGTGGGTAGGCAGAACGATGCAGAGCTTGTGGAGGCGAGAGGGGTCTTGAGTATGGGCGTCCACGGTCGTCTGGGTGGTGAGCAAGGTCGTTGCGAGTGCGGTCATCTGGTGGGGGTCGATCACGATCACGGCCGCCTGCTAGACCTAGACGTTCGTCAAGAGGAGGGGGTCTGCGCTCGTCCATAGGAGGAGGCCTACGTTCATCAGGAGGAGGAGGTCTACGGTCATCCGAGGGTGGCCTTCGATCATCCAAAGGAGGGGGCCTGCGATCATCTAGAGGAGGTCTTCGATCTTCCAAAGGTGGCCTTCGATCATCTAACGGAGGGGGCCTGCGATCATCCAAAGGTGGAGGAGGCCTACGATCATCCAAAGGTGGTGGAGGCCTGCGATCATCCAGAGGCCTTCGACCATCCAAAGGCGGTCGACGATCGTCCAAAGGCGGTCTATCCAGGGGTGGTCGATGGTCGTCCAAGGGGGGCCTACGGTCATCCACAACAGGCCTACGCTCGTCCACAACAGGCCTACGCTCGTCCACAACAGGCCTACGTTCGTCCATAGCAGGCCTACGTTCGTCCGCAGCAGGCCTACGTTCGTCCAAGGGAGGCCTACGTTCATCCACTAAAGGCCTACGTTCATCTGGTCGCCGGTCGTCCAAAGCCGGTCTACGCTCATCCACAGGGGGGGGCCTACGTTCATCCGGTCTCCGCTGATCCCCAGGAACCCTTCGGTCCTCCAAAGCCGGCCTACGTTCATCCCCAGGCCCAGGAACGTTCCTTCGGTCCTCCACCACCACAGGCCTCCGTTCCTCCACAGCAGCTGGTCTCAAACTAGCAACATTAGAAGTAGTAGTCGTAGTCGTAATCGAAGAGCGATCACCAGGATGAGGATGAGTCAACCGTTCCTCAAGCGTCGGTACTCTAGCTTCCCCACTCGCACTCGGCTGCCTCGCTCTCCCTACCACAGGCGGAGGGGGAGGGTGGCTCAGTCGATCTTGCAATGAAAATGAAGGAGGACGAGAGCTCAGACGGTCTTCCAGTGGGATTTGGCCTTGAGATCTTGAGCTAGCAACATGTTGAGGAGGAAGAGCGGCTCTTGGAGCTTGACTCTGACCCTGACCATCCACAGTAGCAGCAGCACCAGCGGGGGGACCAGCAGGCGCAGGAGCAGTAGCTTTTGTGGTTGTTGTGGTGTTAGTAATGGATCTTCCGTTTACGTTTACATTTACTCCTTCACCAGGGGGTTTCGCACCGCCAGCAGCACCAGGAGGGGCTTCTCCAGCCCTGGTAGTAATAGCAGGAGTAGAAGGTGGCCTGGGACCCCGCTCGTCCACTACCCCAGCCCCAGTCACGGAAGACGCTGGTCTACTACGATCATCAGGTGGGCCCCGAACAGGACGGGAAGTACCACTGCTTGTACTACTCTCAATCGGAGGAGGAGGAGGGGCTCGAGAGTCTACAAGCTGTGGAGCTCCAGCACCAAGAGGACGTCGATCTCGATCACGCTCATCTACAGGAATGGGTCTCGCCCCACGCTCACGGTCGTCCAAGGGAGGAGGACGAGCAGCAGCAACATCACTTTGACTCTGTCTCCTAGCAGCACTACTCAAAATCATCGAAACCTGCGCCTCTTCGTGCTCGTGCTTGACTTCAAATCGACGTGGTCCCCCCCTGTCCCTGTCCCTGTCCCTGGTTTCGTAGTCGGGCTCGTAGTGTCTCTGTTCGGGTGGGGGTCTTCGGATGAAGGGTGGTGCAGGGGGAGGACGGCGGTCTAGATAAGAGTCCCGGGGTTTGTCTGGGAAGGAATCGCGAGGTTTGTCTGCGTAGGAAGGGTCCCTGGGTTTGTCTGGGTAGGAGTCTCGAGGTTTGTCTGGGTAAGAGTCCCGAGGTTTGTCTGTGTAAGAGTCCCGAGGTTTGTCTGCATATGGGTCGCGAGGTTTGTCTGCATAAGGATCCCGAGGTTTATCTGCATACGGGTCCCGAGGTTTATCTGCATACAGGTCTCGAGCCTTATCATAGGGATGCCACTCTCTACCCCGTCTATCGCGGTCATCACGATCTAGTGGTGGTGGGTACCGATCAAGAGGAGGAGGACCACGATGATCACGATCAGATGTCCCGTTTTGTTGTTGCAGGCTAGGCCTTCGATCCAAGTCTGGAGGTGGATGATGTCCTGGATCACGTTGTTGCCACCCCCCTCTGCGAGCATCATTTTCATAGGTAGCTTTAGTAGCAGGAGTCAGGTCGCCAGAGCCAGATACCGGTCTTGAAGGAGTAGTTGTAGAGTCGCCCTCTGGATGGGGAGGAGGAGGAGCATATCTCGGTGAAGGGCGCCAATCGTCTGCAGAAGGTTTGGGATTTGTATCAACGTCCATAGCCATTTTGGGGTCTTGCAGGTTTGTGTTGATCTTGCTTAATCCTGAGCTCTGTAATACATACAGGTCAGCAAGCGTAAAAAGGATGAAAGAACGAGCCAAAGAATGCACATTGTTGTTATGAGTGATACCAATCGACTTTTTAGTCCCTTCCTTGTTCTGCATACGTGGCGGGCGGGCTGGGGAGGGTGGACCACCATTGACGTCCTGCGTGATCTCGGAGGAGGAAACCTCAGTGTTGATAGGGCCCAGATAGATACTAGCCAGAGCAGCTGGTTGAGGGATAGCTCGATAACACTCGTGCTGGTTATTCTTGATCATCTCTTTCAGATTCTCCAGGATCTCAAGGTCGGTCTCGCCCAACGGAAGCATGGGCTGTGGGTAATAGTTTTGCTGCTGCTGCTGCTGCGGGTGCATGAATCCGTTAAAGCCAAACTGGAAGTTTGCCTGGAATGGCGTCGTGGGTTGTTGTTGCTGCTGCTGGTTGCCAGCGGACGACGAGGCCACTGAGAACGGAGAGGACATGGCCGGCTCTTCGCTGGGAGTGGGAACGAGGTAAGGCGTGTCTGGAGCTTCTGTGAGGGTAGTTACGGTGCGCTCGCGGTTGAGATTGCCGCGACCTTTGCGCTGTTTCTTGTTTTGCCTTGCTGACATTGGTGGGCGGCGCGGCCTTCCCCCTGACCCTACTTTTTATCGCAAGATCAGCAAAAAGGCCTGCTTGGTTGATGATCTTGAATGATCCCGAGGCGCAAAGGGCCGGACGAGAGGACAATGAGCCGGATGAGGAGGCAATGAGCTGGATGAGAGGGCAATGAGCTCGTCGTTGGTGGGAGTAAGGACGAAGGAGGTAAATCTTCCTCTTGTGGGTGTAAACAAAGCTGGCTGATCCGATTCTTCAAGCACTTCCATCTAGACCTTGGCTAGTATCACACGTACTGTCAAAACGCACCCTTTTATCGACAATGGCTCTGGCCCAGTGGCGTATAAAGGCCGTCGTGGGGATAAGGAACTTACGGCATTGTGTTCAGAACGGTCAAGGTGCGTGCTTTGTCTCTTTGTGCAACTATCTATGTTTCATGTCCCAGCCCAGGACTGGCAGTAACGCCTCTAAGACGAGAGATAGCAGAAAAAAGTGAGCAAACCGACAACTTCGTCCTTTGTTATTATAATTGACGCTCGTCCAAGGTCATACATATGTTACGAATGAATCATTTTTTGAGAAACGACCGTCTTCGTTTTACAGCCACAAGAGCAGACGTCGTTGTAGCCTCCTTGGAGTTCCAAGCTGCGAACGTTTCATAACGACTTGATAGGAAGGCACACCTCAAGACGTCTTTATAACAACTCTGGATACCCCTGGATACCCTTCGCTTCAATCAACTTCATCTTTTACAGTCACTCTGCGGCTATCAAGATGCGCCTCCGGAGATATATAGGATCAACTCTATCATCTCGGCCTCTTGACGATAACAGCGACTTCGAGGACGTTGTTGTTCATCACAGCGTCAACCCACGCTCCAGCCCATCCTCGGTCCCTTCAATGCCCCTTCAGAGATCATAGGGTCAAGGACACCTCATCTCGGCCGACTTTTACCTTTCATTGTCGAGGAACAGCGACTTCAAGGACGCCGTTGTCATCTCTGTTCAGGAAGAGCCAGAACTACGGCAGAAGGTCAGCCTGGAACCATTCCATCGCCCCCTCCCTCCACATGATATAACCAACGGTCAATCCACCTCCTTCCCTCCAACATCACGAAGGCTGAACGACTCCAGTCTCCAACCAAGAAGGACGGCTTGACTTGCGTGTTGTTGCCACCTCCGTTCGACTTACGATGAAGAAGGGCTTCTTTCTTGGCTTAACGCCTTGCCTGCCTTGGCTTACTAGAGGTAGAGGAAGAAACGGCAAAGGTTCAACCCTCTCTTCCTGCTCCTCGACCACTCACCCCTTTCCACCCACTCTCGGACTGTTGATGCCCCTCAACCGTGACATCACGAAGCTCACCAACCCAAGCCGATCTTGTGTTGAAGATTCTTGCATGAAGGAGGACGGCTCGAGAATGCTACTTCTTGCCGTTTCTGTTCGACTTGAGACGAGACGAGGAAGAGCTTTTTCTTCAACTCAAACGCTTACCGGTGATATCAAGGCGTTGTCAGAGATATGAAGGACGGACGTGGCAATCTTGCCTATGAAACAGCTTGTTCGACAGATCGTCCACCATACATCCAGCTCGAAAAGAAGATTCGGAGACACTACTGGAGCTCGCACCAAATATGTGGATGAAGTCGCTCGTCACGTTGTCTTTCGGGTGGGCGAAAGTTCAGAGGTGCCATAAGATTGCCGTACCATTGCGCGTGACATTATTCGCAAAGTCCCAAACCACTCCCGTTCATCCGCTCCCTTCCCCAACTCCCAAGCTGGCACCTCATGCTGCGTGTAGAGAACCCCTTTCTCACGGCGTTCTTTCAAAACAACAACGCCCTCGATCGAGTCATATACATCTTCGCTGGTGTACGATTTTTCAAGTCTATTCAGCCCAGTATGGAAGGCAGAGGTTCACAATCAGTTCAGGAGGGGTCTCAACAGGACAGGAAAGACGTGGTCCACCCAAACCGCCTGCATGCTCGTTCACTTGGGTTGGGATTGAACCTTACTGAAACTCGAACTGGACAAGGGAAGGGAGGATAAGTGACGTCCTACACGCGCTCGTTCGGTCAAGATAACGAACGCCATACAAGGCGTGGACAGCTTTCATTGCTGGTGGGGAAAAGGCCTCCATCCCACCATCCATGCTCCTTTTCAAACTCCCCGGCCTCTCTGCGTGTACATACACGAGGACCTTAAACACTTTGAAGCTGAGAGGATGTCATCACAACGGGATACATTGAACCACTTGCGCTTAACGATGTTGTCGTCCCAGATCAACCTGAAGACAACGTTGGAAGAAATTTTTTCTACAGCCAACGTCCACGATCGATGAAACTGTCACCAGGACTCTCAAACGTATCAGAGTTGAGGTCGAGAGCTGGAGTGATTCAAGGTCGAGTCGGAGTGCTCATAAGAAGGTTATGGTTCGCAAAGGCTGTCGTCAACGTTGATCGTCACGAATTTCATGTTGCTGACGCGAAGCGCGTCGAAACTGGATCGAACTACCTTTCCAAGCCGGACAACCATGGCTATGCAAGGTAGATGACGTTGGGCCGAAGATGCGTCCAACTCTCGAGAGTTCGCTCTTGTTGAGGGCCTGGCATGTGGATTTGGTCGAAATGTACTGGTACAAGGTACAGATAACTTTCATTGCGTCTTTCACTTCAAACAACTCATCTTCGACCTTCTTCTAGCCATGCCCTTTGCCCTGATGATACGTCTCTCTGGGCATGTAATCATCAAAGTTTCCCCTGCGCTTTCGGTTTGAATGCGTTCAAGGAAGGAGGGCCTGGAACGCTACAAAGCCAAGGGGCATGCATCTCCATGATTCATGCTTAATGGGCGATCATGAGGGACTCGCAGATCTCAATGTTCATGCCGAGTTGTATGGCAACCTCTCGGCAATTACGAGCCTTTGACACCCTTTCGACAGGAAAGAAAGTCTGGCTGTACCACAAGACATATACACAGGGCAGTTCCTGTTTTGGGGGAGTATTCCGCTGCCCCCGTGTCGGAGGGTGAAGCCGAAGCATATCCAGGGTGGAGAATGATAGACGCCGCCATGTGCAGATAGTTGAGGACCATGCACCCAAGGTCGCCATTCCTTGCGACATGATCCTTCGTTACTCAACATACACACTCCCTACTAAGGTTCTGATACGCAACTGCCGGCCTTTCCAGGTGTATAACAAGTTTGAGTTGTTGACGGCAGAGCAGGTTGACCGTGGCGCTTAAAATTTATGAGGTTGAGTTTGCGGACCTGAAACAGGCCTACTTTAGGTGCACATCCCGGATTTCCGGCACTCGCTACTCTGCACCTTTAAATGGGCGTCTAGTCAATTCGATACCAAGAACTGGTTGAAAACAACAACGGACATTTCACTTGCCAGCCATGGCAGTACTATTGATTAGCTGGGCGAAGATCGATCAAGTGCCACTCAAACTCACGCAACGAGGTTCAACTTTCCCGTCAGCCGGTGCCACCGCCTTCTCTCTTCCTCCAATCCATCACCCCCTCAACGATGGAAGGAGGAAAACTTGTAATCAGGCAGCAACTATAGTTGGGAAAGCAATCATATTTCTTCCTCATTCAATGGTTGTAGGGATTGGGAAAATCCCGTCCCCGATGTGCTCGATAAGGAGCCTGTCTCAATACATGACATTGTCAGGCCATGCATGCATTCGGCAATGTCATCAATTTTCACACCATAATTTATACAAACGCTCAACACTGCTCATGCCGGCACTCATTCCGAACCATCTTGACCACTGGCAGTCATCAGAAGAGCCCTCGGCCGACTCCAGAAGTTAGTTACTTCCCTTTACAACTGTTTCTCGATATGTGACCTGGCAGCACAAATGCGAAACATGGGAGAAACAGCGATGCTGCGATCACTCCATAGCCGCTCTTCTGTCAAAAGTGGCAGCCAGTGCGAAGTTGCGCGTCTATATCACGGCACGAACAGGGGTTCTTTAAGCTGTGCTTGCAGTGTATCTCTCTCCCTCAAAACACGAGCGCGACGTTCGGAATGTCCTTGCCCCCTTTTTATGACCCATGCCATTGCCTCCCCATGCTTGTTTCACACCAGAGAGCACCGACATTCTTGGGATTGGAACCCGTATACACCTATATGCACAATGCTTTCTTATTGGTGAGTAATGATAGCCAGCTGCTGGTCAATGCAACCTAACTATCATTGGTGTAGTCCTCATCTCCGTCATCGTGCGTGCACGCAAAGGCTCGCCTACCCTCGTTTGGTCCCTCTGGCGTCTCCAGTCCTACACCCTCTGCGCGTTCGCCATCGCCGGCATCTACGAGCGAGTTCAAGGCCAGCTAAGTGTGTTTCACGCAGCTGCCGCTTACCACATTGGAACCTTATTCATCTGGAGCGCGATGGTCGGTTGGAAGATTCAAAAACCAGGCGATGAAATTTATTACACGCCACTTGAGCGTAGACAAACCACTTATCGCCGCATCTCCCGGTTCTTGACGAAACACATGATCCTCTTGGGATGTGGCGTCATCAACATCGTTGTGGGCATTCTCGTAATCCTCGATTCACGCTGCGGTGAAGCAACCCAGACCATCGTCGTTTGGAAGTTCCTGTTTGGATTCACGGCGATCATCAACGTGGACCCCGTCTCGAGGAGCGCCCTGTTTGTCATCTGCTTCGTCGTCGTTCCCATTGTGCTGTTCATGATCATTCCATTTCTGCTTAATGCCGCAATAGCATGTTTCCGTCCAATGCCCTCAATCTACAACGTGGTTTTGTATCCTTCTATCTACATCCTCTTCTGGGTGGAAGAGATCATCGCTATTGAGCAGTCTATCAAGGCTAATCCGGAGTTGGATCACCAGGCAGAGAATAGATGGAACTTTGGACAGGTCACTTCGTTCTCTCCCTTTGGCGAGCTCAAAGCTGATTGTTGTGTAGATCATCACGCTAGTTCTTCTAATGCCATATGTGGAGAGAATTCTTGAACAGGTTTGTGTCCTGCCCTTTATTGTCCATCTGCTATTTGTTGATTAGACACTCGTCAACTCTAGATTGGCGATATGCTCTTGCGATATCGTTTCATCGCGGAATGGTATGAACGGGTTCAGGGTCAGAGTCACGTGCACGGATTGCACACTCATGCAGAACATCATTTCCCTCAAGAACCTGACGAGAGTGTTAGGATGGATCTGCTTGGTAATGTCGTGAGACGTTAACAACGTTTTTGAACTATGGATCAATCCTCTCGACTAGTCTCTCCTAGACAGACTACTACGATATATGTGAAGTCGTACCTTGTTTCACGATATGTGAACTCTCGACTGATATTTGAACAGTTACAATGATGCACATTCACCCTTTGCCATAAAGCTTGCCTGCCTGTCAACCTCCGATTAACTCCTTAAACATCAGTTTCCTCATTTTTTTTATGAATATAAGCGTGATGGTGGAGTTCCTGAGTTGTCCAAGTTGTGGAGGATAAGCGCACGATTGGTTTGACGTCTTCCACCTTAACCGTTGTACAAAGGATGAGTGATTGATAAGTGAACTCCAATTTCTTGCTGGTTTTGTTCGGACTCACTGATCTGCGCGGTCACACCGAGTCGACGCCGAGTCGACTCCTTCAACCGTTCTTCTCGTCTCAATCTTGTTCCTGCACTTCACATTGAACGCTTTAGTATCAGTCATCAAGTTCTCGACTTGAAGCTCTATCCGAGCTGGTCAGACTTAGTCAAGCGGAGGGCGTCGTTGATCAGGGCAATCATTACATTGGCGAGTTAATGGTCAGAGGAGACTCGAGAGGCGACGTGCGGAGTAATCCATGGCTGTTAGAAATTGAGGGTGGGGAAGGAGGCTGACGGGGGAATTCATTGCCTGTTCTGGAGAGTTATGAGCAGGAGGTTTGAGATTGAGCGAGGGAAACGATGGGAGTATTTGGGTGATGTCAGGGTAGTAGGGACGACCGAAGAGGAGGTGACCCCAGTTGATACTTCAGTACTCAGTGCGCTTTATGACTACTGAGCGCGCCTAAGTGGACGTATATGCTATCAGAGGGAATTGCACACTCAGAGGAAACTTGGTCGGATACTGTGTGCCAGTGGCAATTGAAAAAGAAAAAATCTGACATATTTTACAGGAATGGTCCAAGTTCTCTGGATAGTGTATTTACTTATCATGCATCTACGATATAGTAACCGCCCTAACGTCTTGAATGAAGCTCCAACTCTTCGTATGAGTGCGCTGGTTCGACGAAGATCGTTATCGAGGACTGCTCGGATGTCTCCTTAAGCCCTTCATCTGAACGATATCCGAATGAACGTAAAAGCTCCCTGGCATCCCGGGCTATTCCCACATGAGTCTGATGTTTGGCCAATTCTGCCAATCGATGTCGAACTGGTCCTTCAAGTATCGGGTGCGACATTGCATCCTCCCCAAGCAGCAACCAGGATCCCTTTGATTCTCGAAGTCCGCCAAATATGCCAAAAATGATACATATGTCTCGAGATCCTCCAGTTTCATGTCCGAGCGATTCGAGACTATGAGGGAAGAAAGCAAAGGCAGAAGTGATTCCAGAATCTTGGGTTTGTAGTCACTGTAACCACTACCCCTGACACCCCAGGCGTGACGCGTGACGGTTCGGAGTGGCAATTTACCTTTAAGGCCCCTTCTTTCGATGTGTGAAATGGGAGGACCCCGGGCAATAGCAGGAAAGCCCTGGTCCCGATCCGGACAAAAAATGTGGATTTTAGGCCCTACAGCTGGGGGCCAATCCGGACAAAAAGTGACAAAATTCGAAACTGCCCAGAGCCAGAGTCCGGACAAAATCGACGAGATGTCAAAAAAAAAGCCTCCCAGCCGGTATTTGGGCATAATTGTGGGACATTTGTAGAGAAAAATTTACCCTGATCTGGCCGTCCGGACTAATTTTTGAGATTGGGGTGTGGTAGGCCAGGTCCAGTCCGGACAAATTTGGTGCAGAGGCGTCCGGACAAAAACCCAATTTTCGGGATCAGGCCTTTTCTGCTATTGCCCGGGGTCCTGAAATGGGCCTTAAAGGTAAATTGCAGGTGACGGCCACCACTCAAATCCAAATCCGGAAGCGGATCGCAGTAGATCTCTGCGTAATGTAGCCAGTGTCAACGGCCAAGTCGGCTGTGGCTGCTGTCATTCGAAGTAACTAAATGCTTCACCTGGACAGTTGAGTGCTTTGGTACTGCAAATTGCCATGGAAGTGGTTGTGATTTGAAGTGGTACTGTCCACCGACAGAGATTGCCAATGGGAGCCGTGAGGAGCCGTGGTTTACAAGTACATCATGGGTAAATTTCCCTAAATTTGTCTGGTTTTATTCGACAAATGTAGGGGGGATGGAGCCATGGCTGTATGCATGGAGCGGCGGCTGTGTTGGTGGGTGCGAAGGTTGTGCACTTCTCGGTCTGCTGTTGCTAGTCATTCCATCAACAGTAGGGTGGGATTGAGGAATGCCTACATACACTTGGGGTGGTGGGTGCATAGATGAGCCAAATGCTTTGGACGGTTGATGCATCTGACCATATGGTTGTTGTTGCGGAGGTCCTGGATGCAGGGGTGCATGTGTTGTTGTTGGAGATGCCATCTGCTACACCAAGTCGACGCCTCAACTCCTTCCGTCTGCTCCCCCTTCTCGTCCTCAATCTTGTTCCTGCACTCTACATGTGCTTCAAGTCAAGAACTTGAAGAACGACACTAAAGCGTTCAACGTTGTTGGGTCATGAGCTCCGATATCCGAGCTGGTGAGACTTAGCGAAGCGGAGGGCTTCGTTCACCAAGTCAATTCTGGTGGGGAGGAAACTGTCAGAGAGGCGACGTACAGAGTCACAATTCGCGGCTGTTCAAAGGGTGGAGGCTGACAAAGGATCATTGCCTCTAGAAAGTTATTAGCAGAGGGAATCACACATTCAAAGGAAAGGTATGTAAGTACATGGCAATTGAAAAGAAAAACTCCGGCATATTCAAGGCATATTTTACAGGAATGGTCCAAGTTCTCTGTCCAAGTAAGTTCTCCGGATAGTAAATGTGTTTGTTTATCATGCATCTACGCTATAGTAACCGCCCTTACGTCTTGGATGAAGTCCCATCTCTTCGTATGACTGCGCTGGTTCGACGAAGGTCATTATCGAGGATGTGTCCCCTTCATCCGGATATCCGAATAAACGTAAAACCTTCTCGGCAGCCTGGGCTATTCCCACACGAGGATGATGCTTCAATTCTACCAATTTCTGTAGAAGCGGGTCTTCAAGCCTCGGGTGCGACATTGCATCCTCCCGCAGCAGCAACCAGGATCCTGGTTTTTTATCGAAGTCCGCCAAATATGCCAAAAATGATACATATGTCTCGAGATCCTCCAGTTCCACGTCTGAGCGATCCGAGACTATAAGGAGAGAAAGCAAAGGCATAAGTGATTCCAGCATCTTGGGTCTGTAGTCACCGTAACCCCTGAGGATTTGGCATGCCTTCCTGATCAAGTCGGAATTTGGAGAGGTTTCCAACAACCAAATGATGGCGTCAATTTCGGTAGTTTTGTCCAATGATTTCGACATTTGACTAGCTATCCAACCATGGAAGAGGAGGAGCAACATACCGGAAACATACAGAATGACAAATATGATATATCTCCGTGGATTGCGGAAGTAACCAGCTATGGCAAATGTTGGTGCCATGATTATGAAGACCGATAACACCCAGCGGGGAAGCCGATGTTTTTGAGGTTTGTGGTTGACGGGCTTAGGCTGCTTCATCGCATATTCGAAGCTAATTGCGATGGGGATGAAAATGAGTAAATAATAGGCACTTGATTGCGTTATGGTAGCCCAGGCGATCGCTGACCCTGATCCAAAGAATAAAATGCCTCGGAAGATGATGCCATTGATGGTCATCCAGCCCCATCGTTTAAGCCCAGCAGGCGATGACTCGGACCTGGCCAGTCGCGATACCACAAGGCTTGCCAATTTGTGAATCTGATCAAAGATACCCTTGATGATGACCGAGAAGGTTGAGTCGTATGGACATGTGGGAATGAAAGCAGCAACAAGTGACATAACGCCCAATGCGCTAACGCTGACTGTGAGGAGAGTTCCGACACCATAGCCAATAGTTTTTTGAATTGACCAAACCGATATGCTGAAAAAAATGATAAGATCTAAATCAAACCAGGAGATGCGAGATATCTCACTGGACAAAGAACCCAAACACTACAAGAGCAATCAGCAGGATGAGGTATAACGATTGTATCGCAGTCTCCATTTTCCATACCAAAACACCGCTGTAAGCTTCCTGACGCTTCTTTGCCCTCTCGTATGGCGTTCTACAAGAGGAAGCGAAGCGTTTGCCATCGTAGCTGACCACCCACAACTTGGCCGCCAGAGCAAGCGCCGCCGCTATAGTGCAAAGCCCTAAACTACTGTATAGGAGTGCATTGCAGAGAAAGGCGTGATCGTAATCGGCCTGATCTACCTTCCAAATAGCGACGGTGTCGAGAGGTAGTGAAATGTTGGTGCCAGTGGCCTGGGCGACCAGCTGATCGTAGATCGCAATGAGAAGTTTATTGGTGATATCAGATGGATCTGGTTTAAATTGCTGAGAAGTGTCGATGACGAAGGAGGCCAGGACAGAAATAATTAACCCTACCTGCGTACGATGAATTAGCAGCTGATATTGAGGCTAATGAAAAACACCTACAAAGACGAGAGTTACATCCACAATTTTATTCCAATCCTCGATAATTCGTGCATCGAACAAAGTCGCCTTTTCGAGATATTCTTCCCACAATGGATCATGCACGTCTAGTGGTGTTGGTTGAGGGCTGTCGCCCGTCTGCGTAGAGCTGTACGATTGAGATAAATCCGAGGTAGACATTGTCATTCGGGATAGCGTAGAGGGTGGAGGAAGGACGGAACATCTATCTTTCAAGTTTATCAGGCTGCAATTAAAGGGTGTGGAAGATCTACAAATCGGAGACAGCGAGAAGGAAATACGGAGAAGAGGATGTGTACCTAGCTTTTGGCGCCCATAGATAACAAGTTCTTTCCCATAATGAACGCTAAACATCGCACATGACGCCTTCTTATCTTGCGTGACGAACGTTTGAGATTTAGTACCAGCCACGGTCAGCGCCCAAACAGCCGTTTTGCGATAAGGACCTCCCATTGGCACACCGCTACCCATCCCATGATTGGTGGAGGGCGCCAGAAGCAATGCAAGCGCTATAAACCACACTGCATTTGTTGACAACGTTAGGATCAGTTGATCCAATGTTATCAAACTTTCACCAACCAGTAACACGACGATGTGGATTGCTGGGAACTTGAACTCATCGTATATATCATATTTCGCCCCAAAGTAAGCCTGCTCGTTTGACGCCAATCGACACGTGAAAGAGCCAAGTAGAGAAGGGGAGTACAAGGGGCATAGAGTATCTTAAAACGATGCGTGTAAGCCACATCCAAAAAACGACCAGCCAAAGGAGGGATACATACGTATAGAACGAAGGGTCATCTTTTCAGCCTCGGGATTTTGGGAATCTCATCAGCGTGCTTCGAATCTTGAAGGAACGTTTTTGTGTGTAGCAAGTGATTCTGGTGAGGGGGGGACTTCACGTTTGTTCTTTGCAAAGATTCTTGCGGATTTCGGCTGGACTTACCCATCTGCCACATGCCGATCAATGCCACCAGGTCTTCCTTCGACGACTTTATTCTTGAAAGAGAGGGGTCGAAGACAGAGAAACGGCTAGCAGCTAGACTGGAACCGAGGACTCCGTAAACACTCCCTCTTGCATGTCCCATAAACGTAAAGCCGCGTCCTGGGACCGGACAGGGCGGTTGTGCAGGACACGGGTGCACCGGATGGTGTACAGGTGAGCTTGGAGGCCGTATGTGTATATGCTGGGGGAACGTGAAAAGTCGGAAAAAGCGGGTGGATGGTAGGCTAGAGGAGGGAAGAGAGGGTGAAAGAAGAGTGCTTCAGGAGGGTTGAAACTCAGATGCTTGGAAGATGGGTGGGAGTTGAGGGAAGTTGGGAGACACCGCTCCATCCACTCGCGTTGTGGAGGCAACCCAAATCCCCAACTCGCATATAGAGGCAAACCAGAAAGAACTTGTCCCAAACCCTCAAAACCCTTCTGTACCCATGATTTGTGAAAATCGAGTTAAACGGGCCAGCCAATGGAAGAGTAACCCTTCTTGAAGAGCCTTATCTCTGTTGGTCTGGGGATCGATAGTGAGGCCCATTGACGTGAGGATGCACTGTCTGTTTGTTCTGGTGCGGGTCTCGGCCGTCTTGCTAGTGGTGTGAGCTTCCGCCACGCCCGTTGCGCGAACCCCCACCACATTTGTGGCGCGAGTCCCCACCGCCGCCTTGATCTTTCGTTTCTGATGTTTCTCGCCTAGTCCACTCGCGTTGAAATTCGAAAGTGAAACAGAACCGCAGGCGTTAAGCGAAATTGAATCGGTCCTGTTGCTGCACTGCAATCGTGCCCACTGTACAAAGGATGAGTTTGCTCCAAATTCTTGCTGGTCAGGTTATGTAACAGACGTGACCTCAATATCACGCGTCTACTGATAACGGCAAGGGGGTTCAGGGATCTGAATGCTGGACCAGGGGTTGGGTAGGTAGGTCGGCCATAGGCCGAAAAAAAGATTTTTGGAACCCTCTACAAGATAGTCCTAAATTGGTTTTCCAAGGTGATTTACAGTATTCCTGCATCTAGAATATCATTGTATAGTACATTATCTTGACTGGTTATTATATTTCATTATATCCAGCCCAATTTCTGGCTTCAAAATTGTTTTTCACAGTCTAATCTTCATCAAATTTTTGTCTAATGTTTTAATCAATCACAATTTACTGACAAAACAGTTAGAGACCAGTTTTTGACACCAATGGGTATGCTGTGTGACCTGATTTCAAAACTCGAATCATCTTGATGCTTTCGTAACATCAGACACTCTAAACTGATGCCTGTGTGGTGTGGTATTGCACTCAGGATGCAATGGCTTGGTAAAATGGTTGGATGTGAGACTCAACAGGTGAGTATCAGTCTTGCACAAGTTAATCACTACACTCACCTATTTTTTAGTACCACCTACAATGTGTTGCATTGGAGATAGCCCCACGAAATTGGGTATGCGAAGCCTTAGAGGATCAGAGCAATCATGATGATGATGTCATATTGCCATATATAGGCATGTGCCTGATTACGTAGGTAGGTAGGTCAAGCACACAGGGCCTTACAAAAAAATTCGACCCCAGCTACTTTTTTTAAATTCTTGAACCCCCTTGGATAACGGTTCCAATCCTCTCGTCTAAGCGCTTACGCGCTCGGCCTCCGTCGGCCCATTCTCAACACCTATGGTTTGATATCTCTATGGACACTTACTGCTCCCTGCTCCCATTACCTATCACCTGCCTATCTCATTTGTTATCCCTGTGTGTTATCCCCATCGTTGTCCTACCCCTTGCCCTACCTACTGCAGTATAAAAGAACAGACTGTATCTCGTAGTTACCCCAGTGAATACCAGAGTCTTAAACAGTCTTTCGTGTTCGCCCTTCCTCTCAGTGTGCCAGCTCCAAACTACAGTCACCTTCCGTCACCGTAGTCACAGATCTGTCACAGGTTAGGACTCACCGATCTGCCGTACCAAGTTGACCCCTCGACTTCTTTCGTCTTCTCCCTCTTCTAATTGTTCCTGCACTCCATGTTGAACGCTTCAGTCTCGTTGTTCTCAACTTGAAGGTCATTTTGTTGGGTCAGGAGCTCTGATATCCGAGCTGGTCAGACCTGAAGGCCTGAGGCCTTGACTCGGAGGGCTTCGTTGACCTGGTCAGTTACTGTAGGAAGAAATGGTGTTCAAAATTGAGGGTTGAGGATTTCATTGTCTGTTCTGGAGAGTGGGTGACATAGTAAGGTAGGGAAGGCCGAAAAGGAGGTGGTACTGGCAAGTGGTGGCTCGATATTTCACTTCGCTTTCCGAAGGATGAACAAGGGATCACGCTTTCAGAGAAAAGGTAACTGCAAACTTGACTAATGAATTCCAGTTGGCAAAATGGATACAAGTCATGAAAGTGTGGGCAAGACGACTTCGAATGTGTGGAAAAGCTTTGAGACTCACAGGAAATCTCATCCACTGCCAGGTGGAAATTTTGATTATATAGGCAAGTACTCAGTGATTAGTGAAAATAACCTGGCGACCCGGGAACTTTAATCCGTTCTACATAGTGACAATAATGATTTATATTGCAAGTCAGGGTGTCCATGCCATTGCCATCGGAGAGAGGATGGACATGACTGTGGGGCATTTGCTGGTTCAAGTTCAGTGAACTGTTCGGCAAACACGTTCATTAACCTTGCTCCCAGCTGATGAATTGTCCTCCTTGACCTTGGCTTGCGGCAACACTAGCTATGGTCCCAGGTATGAGAACTTCTCCGCCAGGGCAAATTGCCCTTGATTTTACGTGGGAGGGATGTTGGCCAAAATAGTACCAAGAACTGGCAATTCAGTTTAGTTCACTTTGATGGCGGGTGCCTGAGAGATGGCTAGTGCATTGCCACCCCGCTCCGAACAGATCTGAAATCTGTCACCGACACACCGAAAGAGGGTCACCATGCCTTTGTCCAATCTTGTGAAACCAGTTGAAGGCATCTATGTATCTGAGGTGTGGTTCTGCAATCCGATTAAACATGAGGGTTTACTGTCATATACAAGCAGTCAATTAGGTTGAGCGACTCCCAAAATGAGGAGACTCATACTCAGCGCGAGTCATTTATAGTGTTTCGGGAATCGAGCGGGTGTGCAACGTTTGTGCGCATATCAGGATGGTGCCGTACGCTCACGAAAGACATTTGATTGTCAGAGAGCACTGATCACGTCATACCAGTGAAAAAGCGGATTTACAGCCATCCACTTGGAACCTATGTAATCCATGACGAAGGTGTATCAGTCAGCTGGGCATCGAGTAGATAAGCAAGTTAACAACACACCGCCTTTCGGAAGCTGCTGCGCCTTCTATGTACAAATTCTTTGAATAATCTGACAAAAATCCGGGCCCACTTGGTAGCTGAGGGAAATATGCGTGGAAAGCTCATGCTGGACCTCAAACAACAAATTTTCTTTCTTCGGAAGTTTTGGAAACGGGTCCTTCCGTGGCGCTCGGGTAACCCCAGGCAAGTTACCTTGCTTGTGGAACCGTCATACCAGATGAGGGAGTTAATGCACTTCATACCATGTTATCTATCTAGTGATCAATCATCGGAGACAAACAACGATATCTGCGAATTCGAATGTTCGAGGGAGTCTAGAAACCGGAGCAAGTGATGTCTGGCTCACGCTGAAGCCATGTGAGTTCAGGAACTCGCTAGGAGGATCATAGGATGACGTTCTGTCAAAAAAACAATCCCCTGGAAATGTGTTCGGCTGTCGGGAAATGAGCTGAAGGTTCGAGTGGAACTCTCAAGACGTCTGAGGAGCAATGTGTTCACAAATTTGAAGGCTGAGAGTAATCGGAAGTTGTTGCCAAAACTTTCAGATCGTCGTTTTACATAAACCAGGGGCACGTCGTACGCTTTAGCGCTAAAATTACAAAAAGAGGCGAGCTGAATAAAAGAGCCACGTCAACGTGCGCAGCGATGACGGAGGGGTGAAGATAAGAAAAGGGGAAGTGAACAATATCAGACCATACACGTACATCGATGTTCCAATTTTATTTTGGGGGCTCGGAGTCCATTGATCCCCTAGACAAGAAAAAAGAACAAGGGCTGACATATTCGGTCGACAATGAGGTGTAGACGTCTCCCATTGGTTGGAGATTCATTCAATTCCAAGTATAGCCTCAGGCCAGCCTATAAACTCATAGTGAAGAAACCGCTTTCCTGCTTGGATGAATTTGCAAAGAAGAAATCCTGGCAGAGACCTGAAGCCTATGTCTTTGATTTTGGAGTGACGCCAACAAGCGCAGTCCATTTCTCCAAAGTTTCTCCTCAGCTTGACCAATTTGTCAAGGAAAGCTGAACCAACCAGATGGTAAAAAAATGTGCCAAGTCGCCGGAGAGGACAGAAGAAAACCAGCGACCCCCCAAGAAGGATAGTAGAACACATATCCAAGGCTTACACATATTTCCTTGCGAGCATAGCCTGCTTCAAACTCCCTTCACAACTTCGCAATTCAACCCACAAACTGTGCATCGCAAAAGCTTTAGAACCGGGGAACTTTCCAATAAGGAAGAAGCCCTCCCTAAACGCCGGGAATTCACCAAAAGAAGAAAAGGAGGAGAGCAAAAAGCTGGCAGGGGGGGGCAGGGGGAAAGAAAGCCGGGGATTTCGAATTCCAAAGGAAAGAGCCAATCCGGAGAATTCCAAAGAGGGGGTCACTGTAAAGAAGAAGCCGGGGGATGAGCGTACTAGGGAATTGGAATTTAGGAAGCTTACTTTAAGTTGTCTCATCATAAGAAGATGATCCGATGCCTCGAGGCTCACACTTCGCATCTTCGACCCTTGAATTTCGGTGAATCTTGAATTCTTGAGTCACCGGAGCTTGAAGATGGAGAACAGAAGATGCTCTGCGCGGCGATAGGCTCTACATTCTCCAGTGTTCGAACCTCCGAATCTAAAATGTTGAACAAAAGATGGTCATAAATGCAGAGTGTAAAACGAATTGGTTGGCTTACAGTCCTTTGCATAATTTTGTGAAAATCAAAACGTTTCCAAAACCAGTCACGTGGCATGTGCCTGAGCCAAACAAAGCACTGATTTCTGATTTTACTTGGATTTTTTCGTAGTATATAGACCTCCCCGTCTCTCCGACGACCTCGAAGAGCATATCTTTAATGGTACTACATAGATCGGATGACCATGGAGGAGATACGTGATCTCCCCATGTGCTCTTCTATCAGCTTAGTCTACAACATTATCTGCAATTATAGGGATTTTGGCACGTAAAAACCCATTTACCCATTGTGCAGGAGGGCCTTCTGACACCAATGATTTTTTTTACTTCTCAAAGAAATAATCGGAGCAGATCCATTTCTCTATCCAACCTCTATGTAGATAAAACAAAGATAAAATGCAACAAAAGTTCTTGGATGTTTGAGAGGTCGAGGTTTCCATTGCTACTATTTTGCGAGCACTGTAGTATTTCAATGGATTGTTCAATTGAAGTTGGCAAAACCTGATCGATGATCAGGGAGCGAGCGCCATTGTATGGCTCAGGCACATGCCATGTGACTGGTTTTGGAAATGTTTTGATTTTCACAAAATTATGCAAAGGACTGTACTTGGTATGGTCATGGGGTCGTGGTCATTGGGATTTCATGCTTTGGTGGGATTGATGGCCGGCTTGGTATGAGTGGTGATATTGGCCCAGACCTTACCCATCATTCAAGTCGCGTGAGATGGCTCCAGTGAGCTCAAACTCAAATGACCGCAGCGTGTGAGGTCGAGTCATGGCCAAAGCACACAGGTCCGAGTCGTTGGCCAAAGCGCAAGCACGAGCCACAGCTGTAGTGAAGCGAGCCCAGACGAGACGTGTTTTCAACTTCCAATACCGTTCAAGTACTCCAAAAGTCATGTGAGATGGCTCCAGCATCAGTGAGCACTTGGTGAGCTCATTCCTGTTAAACCGCCGCAGCGCGTCGAGTCCAAGTCGTGGCCAAAGCACGCAATCCCGAGTCGTTGGCTAACGCACAAGCTAGATCTAGAGTCCGAGTTGGCCACAGTCAGCGCGCATCTCCAGTGGAAACCAAAGGCACTGCAAATACTGTGCCAGAGTCCAGCCAAGTTCTAGCCTCACTAGTGTCAGCGTCGATATCGATATCATGAGTAGCTGTGCGATAATCATCAGACCCAGTTCCATAACGTGCCTACTTCCTACACACACTTGAATTTGAAGCCCAGGGTTCGTAAGTAAGCACCCCCAATTTCACTTGAACGCTGACGGTTGATGCTGCAGTCGGATTCCGTCGTTCCGAACCTAGGAGGGTTGTTGTTCAGGTAATGTTGTTTGATGATGATGATGAGAAACATGGAGATGAATTTCACATTCGTCAGCGCAACTATGGAAAAGGAAAACTTGAAGCTTGAAGCTTGAAGGCTTGTGAGTGTTTCAAGCCTTGGTGAAACTTCATTCGTCCTTGATCACGCAGTATGTTTGTGGAGCGAAGAAAAAGAAACCGTGACCAAAGACATTAAACAGGTGTGGGAGGTACATACCTGCAGGGCGATTCAGAATCCATAAGCACTAATACCTCAGGCCTCAGACTCTCGTCAGGTGTACATCTCAGTAAAAACGAAAGTCAGGTCAAGTCATCTACCTCTCACAAGAAGGTCATGTGAAGTCACATTGGTAAATGCAAAGTCATGTGGCGCTCAGTTATGTATCTGCAAAGTTTTCACGGCCTAACTGAAGTTGAGGAATAGTCAGTTACAAGTCATGTTGTAGTCTAATCCTGGTCATCCGAATTACTATCATTTGTATCGCCTTTGTCCTCAGTCAACAAGACAATTTGTTGAAGTCCGTTGAAACTCCGACATCAGGTGATCATGTTGTCAGCGCGAAAATTCCTTGTTCTTCCCAAGTTCTTCCATGTTCTTCCTTCCCACCACACCCACGCAAGCTCCGATTCATAAGTCGATGAACAGCCTTCCCGCGACGAACACCTTCTCCCTCCCTCGACCAGCGGCCTCCTCTCGCGACGAAGGGTCTCCTCCCTAGGTAGAGATGACGAAAGGCCTCTTCCCTCCCTCGACCAACGGCCTCCTTTCTCTTCCTCCTTCAGCAGACAATCTCCTCCCTCAACGAATGGTCTCCCCTTTGATGATCGGTCTCTGCCCTTGACAACTGGTATCCCCTCAACAAATGGTTTCTGAGATCTAAGCTCAACGAACTGTCTCTGCCCTCGACGACCTGTCTCCTCCCTCTACGACCTCTCTCTTCCTTCGACGACCTGTTTCCGCTTTTGACGAACTGTCTCCTCCATCGATGACTTGTTTTCGCCTTCGACGAACTGTCTCCTCCATCAACGATGTGTGCCTCCTCCCTCACTCAATGGTCTCCTGCTGACTCACTCAATAGCCTCCTCCCTCCTTTGATGAATGTCTTTTGGCTTCCCCCCCTATTACAATGAATGGTCTCGGCCTTCCCCCTACAGTCTCATCCCTCCTTCGACAAATAATCCCCTCTCGAGAACAACCTCTTCTTTTCATACGAAGATGTGGCTTAATTAGGAGATGAGAATTTGGACTTGAGGTGGTGCTAGAGGTGTATATAGAGCACAGTCAGTAGGCTTGAAAAATATATGATTTGTTCCATGATTCCGATACTGTTACCTGAGGTTGTGATGAGAGATACATGACTAACACACATCAATCAAATGACCTGAGCATGACGGGAAAGAGACTATTATATGACTGTGTTCTGGCTTTTATTTGACTATGGAAGGACTATGAGGTGACTACATGACTACCGAATGACTGTAACCGACAGATGGTGGGCATCAGCCACACGACTTGACACGACTTGGCAAAGTCAACTCGAAGTCAAAATTTTGTAAAAAAGACTGCTTTTAGTCATGTCGTGCATTTTCGTGTAGTAGCGTGACTACCATATGACTGAGACACGATGAATCATTTTTACTGAGTGTACATGGGCACCTGTATCCTATCGCCAGTACGCACCGGACTTAGCCTGCTAAGCTTCAGGTACCCACCCCTGATACTTAGTAGTCCTCCCCACATTAACAGTAGGCTAAACATAGACCTGGTGCGAATTCCAGGACGCTGACGCTGACACTGACTGAAGTCTGATAACCAGATTCGGGAAGCTACAGTGCAGGGGTACAACTTTCGCTTTTTGACTATTTTTGGTAATTGGTCATGTGACCACCCTCCCAACAACCCATGTGATACATATCATCATTATTATATAGTTTTCGGTAATGAAAGTGCCAAAGGGCCTAATGAAATATCCTAATGAAAAATCTAAGAAATAGTAATGAAAGTGCCAAGGAGCCTAATGAGAAGTGATGAAATCGTCAAGGTGCTCAATGAAATATCCTAAAAGAAATGGTAATGAAAGGGCCAGATGCCCCAATGAAATCTCCCAATGAAAAATCTAATGAAATGGTCAAGGAGTGTAATGAAATATCCTAATGAAAGTGCCAAGAAGCATTCTAATGAAAATTCAATGAAATGT